TCCGGTCGTCTGATCGAGATTGATTCAAATAATATCAAGGCCATCATCGATAAAAGTCCATCCCAGTGAATGCGGAAGATTGCTATGGTACTTAATATATCTCATACAAATATAGAAAATCATTGGATTATGGAAGCATAGCAGCGAGTTGCCGCAAACAACCTCGAAAGCGGGATTGCATCCGAAAAAAATCATACTCTCCGTAGTAGTAGTAGAATTTCAAGGATATCATCTATGAGTTGTTACTGTCATGCAAAACGATTGATTCAACCGTATACTACTGGCAGTTGACGAAATTGGGACAAGTGATCCTCACAAAACGTGAAACCAGAATTAGCAAATCGCAAGAATGTTGTCTTCCACCACGACAATGCTAGACCCCATACGTCATTGACCACTAGGAACAAATTGCTTAGTCTTGGTTGGGATGTTTTGCCTCATCCTGTATATTCGCCGGACCTGACTCTTTCCGATTATCACTTATTCCAATCATTACAGAACTCTATGAATGAAAAAAACTTTCAAATATGAAGTGACTGTTAAAAGACACCTAGATTGGTTTTTCGCTGATAAGTCCTAGACGTTTTACAAACGCGATATAATGAAATTGGTGGAAAGATGGCAAGAAGTCATCGATAAAAATAGTCAATATATAATTGATTAAAGTTTATTTTATGTATTAAAAAAATTGTTTCGACCTCTGATAGAATCACCTTAAGACATGTACAGTGGTCATAAACATTCAAATCACGAATATAAAAGAGTTAAGAAACAAAAATTTATTGTTTATGACCATTCGTTTATTGACCAGAACAAGTGATGGTATGATGTCAGAAGAATATAAAAGAATACGAAAGATCATTTTCTGAAGATGCAAACCAGATTTTCGCATAGGCTGATTGAGTTCATCTCTGGATTTTTCTCTAAGTCCGTTTGCATTGAATATTATTATACAGGATTCATTTTTCATTGCTAGTCACTAATCGATCCAGAAACGCATCCTTTTTTAGTTGGTCGAACTGCTACAAAAACACAGCCAATTTGATTCTTTTCAATGAAAACATACTCAAACATCGAGCTTTAGGTTACCCAATCTTTTTAGGTATCAAGCTGTTAATACCTATCTTTACCTTCTTCAACCTGTCTTTAACTTCTCTACAACTTCTGTTAAAATTCATGGATTACTTTCCACTAAAGAAGTATGTTGAAAACTAAACGAGAATGGAACCAGGAAATGATGGTTTCATTCGAGTCTCCTCGCCGAGATGATTCCAACAATAGGTAACATATGAGTATCATATGGTCGACTCAGTAACTATGGCAGTCAAAGTGGCCAACAAATTTAGATAGGTCCAAAGTGTTGTTGGCGCAAAATAACTAACTATCGATTAGCAACCCATCCAGTCGCAAGTTCCAACCGCGAACTCGACGTAGCCAACAAGTTGGTTCTATTTTTTTTTATTTTTTACGACTCAAATCGGTCGATGTGCGATCACTTCAATGGTCGAAATACGTCGTAATGCAGAAATACGTCGAAATACGTCGGTACTTCGAACGTAACTACATAGGCTGCTCACCAATGGCTAGCCACTGCTCCATCAACCATCTTAAAGTACTTAACTTCACTGGCCATTTTAACTGTCATAACTACCAAGTTAACCCTATGCATTACCTATCGTTGAAATTGTTTGGCCGAAGAGAATCGAATGAAACCATCAATTCTCGATTCCATTTTCTCTCAGTTTTCAACATGCTTCTTACTCACAACATCATTATCAATGGTTCAAAGTCATCCAGATCATGGCTCATGTTCCAAATTAAAATAATTACATCGAAATGATGAAAACCATTTTTTATGGTTTTTATGAATGACGTATGGTCACAGTCACGATAATAAATTTCCTGAATATATTAGGTGTCTCGGTTAATTTCCGCTGTTCGGCTCTACATGACTCCAGCTGCAAGTGTAGTGAATTGTAACAGCTGGAACTCATGCGACATTAAAGGTTAGACATTTTTCGATAGAATTTAGTCCATCAAGGTTTACTTTTGCAAGCAGTGATATTGTTTTTAAATCAATTAAAAATGAAACGCAATAAGGTTGCTTTTCGATATGTTCTCTTCTACCACTGTGATATAAAGAAAACTGCAGCTCAAGCACATCGAAAATTAATGGAAACTTATGATGATTATGTTCCATCAGAAAAATATGTAGAGATTAATTTCAACGATTCAAAAGTGGTGATTTTGATGTAAAAGACAAGGAACGTTCAGGTCAGCCAAAAAAAGTTTGAAGATACCGAACTGCAAGCATTATGGACCAATCAATCTTAAACACTCAAGGAATTGGTTGAAGCACTAAATGTTGCAGTTTCGACAATTTCTAACCGTTTACATGCAATGGGAAAAATTCGAAAGAGAGGAAAATGGATGCCATATGAACTGACCGAAGCGAATATGCTGAACCGTGTATCCATCGCCACTGCTCTGATTATTGAGAGGTGGAAAAAAAGAGTTTTTTGTACCGGATTGTCATTAGTTATGAAAAGTGGATCTATTATGATTATGACAATCTTAAACGCAAAAAAATCATGGGTAGACCCAGGCCAACCATCCACATCGGGGCCAAACGCAATATTCATGGTCTTAAGATATTGTTCTGTATCTGGTGGAATCAAGAAAGTGTTGTGTATTACCTGTAGTGTGACAATGTAGTGACCTCTTAAAACAGAATTAAAATATTATGACTGGCCGGTATCGACAACAATTGTACAGTTTGAAGCTAGCGTTGGATCAAAAACAACCTCAAATTGCACACAACGAAAGAAAAATGATTTTATTGCTCGACAATGCCCGGCCATATGTTGTAAAAGTCGTCAAGGCTAACAGAGCTCGAATGGGAGATTCTTCCGCATACCACGTATTCTCCAGACCTGGCCCCATCTGATTACCATTTATTCCGTTTAATGCATCATGGCCTTCAAGACACACGCTTTCTAAATAACGAAAAAGTCCGAAAATGGATGGATGAATAAATTCTTTTAAAACTTGAATTGTTTTATCGCCGCGGAATTCATCTCTTACCAGAAAGATGGGAAAAAGTAATACAAAACGATAGAAAATATTTTGATCGATTAATCAATTCATTTTGTAATTGAAATAAATATATTTTTCAAGCAAAAAACAGCGGAAATCAACCAAAATACCTGATATTTTACTACAGTACCAACTTTTACATTTTCTCTAAGCTCATAAAGTATAATATGCTGAAAATGAAACCTTCTCTTTATTTATATTCGATAACTATTCTCGTAAATAAAATCCCTATAAAATGTCGAATTGAAATGTATTAAAAAGTATTGACATTTTGAATACGTCTGAATTTTGCTTTCTGATCCGAAGAAAGGGATTGAAAAGTATTATTATTCCCATTAAACTTCACCGCGCTAAATGCGAGACGGCAGTAGTAAATGCTTCGCATTAAAAAAGATTCAATTCATTTCAAATATGCCTCGCATTCAATCGCAATCGATAATTTTCAAATGCGAACTTTCGCATTGAAAAGTACTCACTTCTTCTCCTAATTATTTTCGGATCCAGAGGCATACAAGATTTTCACGTTCTATTCCTCATCGCATTGAAAAGTATTGGCCCGTGATCCAATCCGAAATTTCCGCAAAGCAGAATTCACGACGAAATCTCGTGAATGCGAAACAATACTTTTAAATACGACATTTTATATAGGGATGCAATGAAAATTAATCAATTTTACGTTTGTATAACAGCTGAGAATTTTAGTTACCTTTCCCTAGCAATAATATGTAAACTCTACCGAACAATATAACTACTGTATACCAATAACAATATTTATCGTAATTGAGCACGAATTTTTGCACTCACTTAACATCATATTTTGTTAATAACTTTTTAATAAACAATGAGCAACAGTTAAAACTTTTCGATAGTCATTTAGAATGACACATATGTCAAGGTCATCATCATCAGTGAGGTTACCTTTAATATAAATATTTACTCGACTTTTCATCAGGAATTTATGTCCGAAAATGTTATATTTCTATGCTACAAATAAAAGAACATTTCGGATACATGCTACACGATGAACAAAAAAGAATTCTTTACATATTTTTTATCCCATTTGGACTATCTGGTTACAAGTGAAACTGTGTCATATATTATAATGTTGTTTTGGTATTTGGATTCTTGAGTCAGATAAGAACTGTTTAGAATGCCGGACACTAGCTTCGTAACAAATATTACATCTGCGAATTATGTTCTGGTATACCTGCTAAAATGTCTGAATAGTGTTGAAACATAACATTTCCGAACATGGATTTCTAATCAACAAATTGATTAACTATAACCTTTACATATACCCTGAAAATTTGTGATCGTTATTCATTTACATCTTGTATATATGCATCGCGTACATGCAAGAGTGTATGTATGTGTGTGTGTGTGTGTGTGTGTGTGTGTGCGCACGCGCGCGCGTGTGTATGTGTGTACGTATGTGAAGTGAGTGTGGGTGTGTATGTTGCATATAAGCAAGATAACATCTTCCACTCCGGGTTCAAGGTCACCAAACTGGTTTCTAAAGCTAGAGATTAAATAGTTGCTTACTCTCTCTCTCTTTCTTTTTCTTAATCTCTCGAATTTGCGCAGATATATAAATAGCATGAAAAAATAATTTTTGTACAAATGGTTTGAAAATAATTATATTAAAATATAGTAAAATATAAAGTGTTGTAACTTTTATATATTATTCATACTAATTCGTAAGTCATTTAAATTAACATTTAAATATATGTAAATTAACATTCCGTATTATGTCGCCAAATTATGTATCCCTATTATATAATATTTATTATTTTATCTGTGTACGCACTAAATGTTATAAAAAATGTTAACCATTATTGAATGTCTTAAACCAGAATAAATTAAGTCCGCTACAAAATATTAAAAAATATGAAATTCTCACTTACCACAAACAATAAATAGAGTAGTAATTCGTGTAATAATTCGCATGGCAAAACACTATAAGTAAAAAACTATATTCAGCGCTTTTTTATAACTCAAGGTTCAATCATCTACTGCGATCTGTAATGGTTGCCACGAGACTGGAATTACCGAGCGGAGGAAAGCAACTTACACGTATCATCTTAATATGCGCGTGTGTGTGAGCCTGCCCGGGAAAATACGCGCTTAGTGTATATCTGAATCATATACTGTAAATTTTACTTAAATAATATATGCATAAATTGACAAGATATATTAAACACACATATATGTAATTTTTAATCTGCTTCAGATATCTTTGCATGAAGAAAAATGATATACAATGTAACAAAATGTGCGGCTTAAAAATCTTACGTCATCGTTATTTTTAGGTATTGCATATAGAAAATTGCATATATAGGATTATCTTTATAACAATAGGAAATTATAGCTATAGGATTGGTTTAGAAAGAATTGATAGATGATTGATAGCATTTTGTTTAAAAAACAAGTGATTAAACAAGATTTAATATATTTTGTGTCTGTTATAGAAAGAAAAAGAAGGTAAATTTTCGATATAATATATTATCTACATATTATTATCCACAGGTTCTTCTTTTTCATCATTAGTCTTCAGTTTCATCAATTCATCGTCTTCGGTTTCATCAATTTTCACAGGAAGTTCTTCTATATTACTAAATGAATATTCTGGAAGTGTCGCTATCCAATTTAATGCCCTATGTTAATTAGTTAAGTTAAATAAAAAAATACTGATTATAGCAACTATTAATGCAAAAGGATACGTGTTTTCTGAGATTTCAGTATCTATTATATATTGCAAAATATATTCTTTTTGAAACTTTTCTACTTCCTCTTCACATTCCTTCCAATCTAAAGTCTCATGCATACCATCTGTTCCATACCTCTTGGCATAATTATCATAATGCACCTGTTAACAAAGTTATTCCTTAAATAATATCTTTACCTTAAGTTAAATATTATTTAAATTTATAATTGAATATATTGTAATAGATTTTTTCTATAAATTTAACCTAATATCATATCATATATTCTACAAGACACAATTATTTAAAAAAATGTTTTCTTTTAACAATGAATCCATTTAATGAATCCCATTAAAGTTTAGCATAATATTAGTTTGATATAAGACATAAAAAATATGCCATTAATATTTTTCTTACATGGCATAAACATAATCCTAAACTTGGTGCAATTGGTATTTCCATTTTGACTGTTTTAAAGGCCTCATTGATTGTTTCTTCAGGTATGATGTTTCTTGCAACTGCAATTACCGTTGCAACCATTTTACGGATTTGATGCAGCATAAAACTTTGTCCCTTAACTTCCAGCACTACAAACTCTATACCCTTTGAAACAAAAGTATCTACACAATGGAAGTTAATGATGTAGCGGCGTGCTCTTGGATCTAATGGTTTCCTGAATGAAATAAAATGCTTTCTCACTGCATACTCTAATAACTGTATATATTATTAAGTCTATATTACTTACGTTTTTGATGTAAAATTATGAAAATTATGAGTACCTTCAAAAAGTTTTAAAATTGAATTTAATCTATTTAATGACTCTATAGATAATCTATAATCAATATACGGTTCTCCATCAATAGTTGATATCTGCTTAATTCTCTCATTTATGTCAACTTCTTCTCCCATTTTTAACAAACTCTGGTCTTCCATTGCAAATGTAAAAGAAGGAATAATATATCTATAAGTACGTGCATCACATTGATTCTTACTATTAAAACCTTTTGTCACTCGTTTTATTCCAAATACTCTGATTACATCAGGTAAAAATTGATTAATTATCGTTTTATCTGGATTCTCTGCTGCAAATAATATTTGATATTTAATGATATAATACAAAATAACTGATAAAATAACAAAACAAATAAATAAAATAATTGATCTAATAGATGCATTTAATACAACTCTACACTGAATGTTTGTATCTAGTTGGCATATTTCTTCAGATTCAAAAATATATACCAATTAGATTCAGCTTATTCAGCATTCAATGAATAATTGTGGTATCAAATGCATGTAGTGTTTTATATATAAGCTTTGTTTTTATTGTTTCAAAATTAAATCATAATTTGGAAAATTTTAATTTTACAAAAGCCTTAATTATTTTATAACAATCTTGATCTGAAAAATTATTATAAAATTATTATATTCTATACTATTGTAAAACTATTACATTCTATATTCTATTGTAAAACCATTGGATTCCATATTATTATAAAACTATTGCATTTGACTAAACATTTCTGTGGGAATTAACATTTCTATTAAGTATTAAGATATCTTACGTAGTTTCAATGAGACAATTTGCCTAACAGCTGATACTCCTTTGTCTGTACGTGCTGCTCTTTGAAAGTTAATTGTACGTAAATTTTCGAATTGCTCAGTGGTTATTAAGTTTGCTTTCAATAAAGCATTAACCAAATCTTCCTCGATAGTTTTCATACCAGGATTTCTTTGCATCCCATAATAATTTTTACCAAGATATCCCAACATAATAACATGGTTCCTCCTTTTAATCCTTTGCACTGACTCTGCTTCTGTCTTTTGTATTTTAATTCCATTTTCATCGTCATTATCTAACATAGGTCTTTTATCTCCGCGTGTAATACTTTCATCACCTTTAACTAAAGAATCTGTCGACATAGCACTGCGACAACTTGAACTGTTATATATTTTATTTAATTGAGATTTTATCCAGTGGGTAGTAAAAGCATTTAACAAACGATGTTTTGTCTCGTGCAACATTGATAATTTAAATCCTATTTTATAATTTTTATGTTAAAATATCAACTAAACTTTCCCTTCTTTGAGGGGCACTTCTTCAAAATTTACATTAGTTATATCAAAAAAGATAAATTCAATATATTTACATTTATAATTGATATACAAAATTGACGAAGAAAAGATATACGAGGTTATATATTTCGTATAATCAAGCGTCTACAAGGGCCATGTTCCAAAATTCACTGCCAGCGCTGAATAGTTATAGGGTGCGTTCCGTTTCACGCATATGCGCGCATTTTTTATAGTATACGTGACATAAACTATAGATAAATGCGCGCATATACGTGAAACGGACGCACCCACAGTTTGCGTGATACAAACATTTGGTCTGTTCTTTTTAGCTACATTGAGGAACTAGTGCGATAAGTTAGAATAAGACAACTATATTTTTTCTCACTTTAACTTATTGCACCAGTTCAGTAGTGCAGCTAAAAAGAACAGACCATATATATTTTCAGTACTGGCAGTGAATTTTGGAACACGGCCAAGTATAAAGCATCATCTATAATGGCAGTAAGCAGTAAGAAGTAAGCATAAGTGGTAAGAAATAAACCAATCACAGTCGATTATGACAAAAATAATCAACTGTGGTTGGTCCATTTCTTACTGACTACGTTTACACGGCTTCTAACTTAGACTTAAGGCTATCATACACAAATGAACGTAAGTAGTAAGACGTAAACAGTAAAGAAACTGACCAATTACAATCAATTATTCTCGTAAATTTTAAAATAACGTCCTTAAATTTCGATTGTGATTGGTCAATTTGTTTACTGCTTACATCTTACTGCTTAAGTTCGTTGTGTGTGATGGCCTTTAGTAACGCTAATGTTATAACTCCTACTTAAGGTGAGTTGCGTTTATACATTTACGCTTATCTATTTGAAATAACTTAATAACTTTCGAGTGAGTCCAGGATTTCCATTAGTACCAATATAAAAGGCCGAAAAATGAAATGATTGTGATTGTAGTCTGAATATAAAAGAATTAAAATATGAAAAGAATAATATATAAATAAATCAACAAATAAAGTGAACTTTTAGGTTATATTATGAATTTGAAAATTATAAAATATGTATATATCTATATAATAATAATAAAATTTATATAATAAAATATAATATTTAACTAAAAATGAAATTAAAATTTTAGGTTATCAATTTTGGAAAAAATTAATCATGGAAAATATGGAAAGCGTACGCTCGTTTGTTGCTATATATTTGAAAATAGTAGAAAATATGACGATGCAATATATACTATGGCCCATATTCAGAACGTGCTTATAAATATGTTAGCGCGCTGTTAACCAATGAAAGCAATGAAAAGCCACGCAATATGCCTTCTGATTGGTTAACAGCGCACTAACATAGTTATAAGCACGTTTTGAATATGGGTCTATATGTACGAAATATTTTGATTAAACGGCGAAAGCGTCAGAAAGAAATTATATTACAACATTTGTTGAATTTAACACCACCAAATCATTTGCTTGATCTCAGACCCGTATTACAATTTTCACGACATAAATCAATTTTACAATCAAGTTAAGATGTTCAATTTTTATATTGATATTATTGTCATATTTACACAGCGTCCGTTTACACGTCTTCCTTACGTCGATGTAGAAACTCTAAGCCTCTTCACCAAATGACTTTGAGTTACTACATCAATTTAATAACTTCGTCGTAAAGGAGTGTTTACACGGCATCTAACGTCAGTAGTTATAACATCGATGTTATAACTTTGGCGTAAATTGGGCTGTGTAAACGTAGTCATAGTCAGGCCTTATATTTAAGACTTCCTTAAGTTTATCTTCAGATGGTCTGTAGCCAATAAAATAATCCATACAGCATCTAAAGATGGATCTAAGGATAGCCTCAAATATAAGGCCTGACTATGAATACGCGTCTAAGACTATGAATACGGGTCTGGACGTTACAGGCAAATCTCACAACATTATTTTTGCCATAAAACATCGAATTAATCTGGTTGTTAACAAGGGAATTAATATCCGTCTCTTCTGCATACCTAGTCGTAATAAATATATACATGGCAATAAAATGGAGGATGCTCTTGCAAAAATTGGCGCCACCGGCACGGAACCCTCTCTGCTGGTGATTTCTATGCCTTCTAGCAGGGACTTTATCTCTGCTCTAAATAATACTATTAGAAATGAAGTCAATCAATTTTTGGAAACGCAATTCGCTAGTAAAGGAACTAGATATAGAACTCGGGTCCCAAGTATTTCTCATTCGCCATGGTTCATCAAACATCGTCACTTAGGGCCGTATTCATAGTCGGATCTTATATTTAAGACCGTCTTGAGTTCACATTCAGATATTCTGTAGCCAATGAAATGATCTGTACAACATCTGAAGATGAACTTAAGACGGTCTTAAATATAAGACCGGACTATGATAATACGGCCTTTAGATAGGAAAACCCTAACCCTTATTGCCCGCCTGAGATCTCATCATATTTGTGTTAATCCATACCTGATGGACAAAAACATCTCTCACAACGTCTCTTGTGATTGTGGATGGCGTTATAGAAGCCTGGAGCATGTATTAAGCCAGCGGCACACGGTGCTTGTTTTCATGCTGGATTACTTGCTGGATGAAAATACTGCGTTCTGATTGGTGCATTTCCATCCATCTTCGGAAATGTACCAATCAGAATGCAGTATTTTCATCCAGCAAGCAATCCAGTACGAAAACAAGCATCGTGTGCCGCTGGTTTTATTCAGATGTCCTCGACACCATGAGGCATCTGACCGGCTACTCCTAAAACTCTATTATCTGAGAACAAACATCAATGCAAACTTTCTAGAAACAGACTCCTTTAATACAAATAAAGCCAGCAGCACACGGTGCTTGTTTTCGTGCTGGATTGCTTGCTGGATGAAAATACTGCGTTCTGATTGGTACATTTCCGAAGATGGGTGGAAATGTTCCAATCAGAACGCAGTATTTTCATCCAGCAAGCGGTCCAGCACGAAACAAGCACCGTGTGCCACTGGCTTAACTTCCCAATCTTTCAGAAGATAGCCAAGTTTCTTGCACGCACCAATCAGATTATTCAATCACACGTTTTCGTCTTGAAACGATGACTGGCGTAGGAGCGAAATTGTCCCGCCTGGAGCCATCTATTGAACCATGAACCATGAACTAGGTATTAATTAATTGTGACATATACATAAAAAGAAGTTTACAGATATGCTGTCAAAATATATAAATACTATATTTACCTACGGAAAATGTTTACAGGTATAATTGTAATTATGTTCTGCTAACAATTTAAGAAAACTCAATATATTGGTGAATATTTCATATAAATTTTTTGTCTTAAATTTTGATTAAAAACATATATATATATTTTTATAGAAGGTTTTATAAAAATTAGTCTAGTATTATTAAAATTCGTTTAGTAGGAACAAGTTACAGAGTGAAGAAATAAATAACATACTGATGGTTAGGAAGTCTAATATCAGCAAATGATTAAAATATGATGAGAGACAAGATGAGATTTATCTTACATTGATACTTTAATTAGTTTATAATAATTTAGGACTTTTCTTGCACAAAAATTATAAATCTCTGGTACCATACCATTGTAGACATTGTTTCATATTAAAACCTATACGGTACAAAAGTTACAGCAACTGCTGCAACATTTCGATTATAATTCTATCATGATGCATGTTTCTCATATTATAATTAGAATATGAATGAAGATATTTGTAGCACTGTATTTTCTTTTCTTTTTTCATTCAGAAACTTTTTCTATCAACAATCCTAATAGTATGTGTAGATTCTGAGAATTTTCTGAAATTACAAAAATATTACAAAAATAGATTATGTATATTTCCTATTTTACATATTTAAGTTATATATTATATATAGGGTATCTTAAAAATACCAGAACCCCCTGATAACTTATTGACTTTTGGAAATTTAAAAATCATCAAATTCAGCAAAAATCAACAAAAATCAGGGCATTATTGTAACAATATATTCTTGAGATTAAGTAAAGCAAAAAAGTCTAGTACCATGTTTCCTTCCGACAAATAGTTAGCGATATATTGTAAATTAAATATTGAAAAAGTTAAGTCTAACAAAATATTAGACAAATAAAAAATTTTTTTAGATAAGATAAAAAAGTTTTAGATAAAAGTTGTTTAAATTAATTGGTAAATTAATTGGTAAAAAAAACAGTGTAATAAAAAAAATAAGGGTTCCCATTTAAAAAATGCAAGTTGACCTCCAAATGACCTTGTCATGGCCAAGGTCAAATTCAAGGTCACCATCAAGTCCGTTACTCGATTTTTTACAACTTTTGTATTTAAAGTTTTTCATGAAAACTTGATCCTGCAAAATTATCCAGGGGTTCCTGTATTTTTAAGACACCCTGTATACAAAATAATTGAGGATATTTGTATGTTTATGGTTTTTCTTATTTGAAGAACATATCTATGTTCAATATATCTATATTGAATATACAAATATAGAATACTCTATAATGTTCTAAAAATATTACAAAAGTAGATTGTATATTTAAGTTGTACATATAGATATAGATATATATTTTTCTTAGATATATTTGCTATATACAAAGAGATATTTTAAATATGTGGAAAAAAATAGAAAGAATTAGATATATTTTTTAAATAATATATATTTTGAATATATAAAGAATATATATAATTTACTTCTGAAATATCCTTCAACATTTTCAGCACCTATTGTATGTTTTGTTAAAGAAAAACAGCAATAGATGCTGAAAATGTTGAAGGATATCTTAGAAACAATACAATAAAACATGTAAAACAGCATGTTTTGTTAAAAAAATCCAATTTTAACATCTAGAATCTTTTATGCATAAAAATAAACAATGTTTTTATCAAAATCTGTTATAATAAGAATTCCTTTAAAATCAAAATTTACCATCATATATATTTATTATTATTATTAAAATATAATATATTCAGCACTTTGATATAAATAATTTTATATACCAAATATATGAGTACTATTTATTAAAATTTCCTACAATTTTCAACTTTGATTATTCAAGTATAATTGAAAATTATTTATATGATTCTTATTATAATATCAAGACATTTGGTATATATAGGATTTCATTACTATAAATGTTAAATATATATATAAAAGATAAAAAGTTATTTCAGAACCATGTACCAGCATTGCTCACTACTATTAATCAATCCAATGACTTTACACAAGCCAGATATATCGCTAAGCATTGGAATCCAAAATTTAAGAAAGAAAGGAGGGAAAAGGTTATTAAAATTAAACTTCCATCATTTGAAAATGAGGATGAAGATCCTACTAAATTAAGCAAAGAACAAATACGTTCACGTATGAAGGAACATGGTTTCGTTCCACAAAAACAATGGTCAGAAAGACCGGCATATATGAGCTGTACTCCTATAATTTTTGAATCATATATTGCTCCTGAAGGAGATGGAAAATATTCTGCTATTACTAAAGAGGTATTTGTATATATATTTGTTTTCGTTTAGTCCAATAATATTTTTAAACAATATTTTGCAAGCTTATCAAATGCATATAAAATACATATAAAATGCATTGTTTTTTTCTTATAGAGTTCTATATGAACAATAATATTATGCCAGCTTTAATTTTAGTAGTGTGAATCTATCATAAAAAAGTGCACTTATATTTATTTGTACTCATAATTGAAATTTAGGGAGCAAAACAAAAATATTCATTTTTGAAGAAGAAGAGCAAATCTTTATTGGCCATTAGAAAAATTAAATCATTTGATGATATGTTTAAAACATCTCATTTTATAGAAGAAGCCATTGATATTTATAAGAAAGCATATGAAGCTTTAGCTGCGTAAGTAAAAATAAAAAATATAAAACATTTTTTATGAAATAGATAAATAACACATATACATAAATATTAATTCTAATAAATACATAAATAAATAAAATTTCAGAAAATTTAAACAATTGCAGTAATAAAATATATCTGTACTTTATTTATTTATATATTATTATTAAATAAAATAATATTTATTTTAGTAAGGAGGGTGAGGAGAAATTATTACAATATGTTACTGAAACTGCATATCCTGTAAGTGTAAATATAAATTATATGTTAAAATATAACTTTATATTATACATTTCTTAGTGATAATATATACAAAGTGTAATATTTTAATTGAAATACCTAAATATATATAAATATATATAAATAATATATAAAAAATAAAGCAAAATAAAAAAGAAATATTTCAGACAAAAACTGTAAAATGACATAGTGTTATTAGTTTGGTAGTTCTTTATTCAAAGAACACATTCGGATTACTTGAGGTCAAATAACCGAAGTATAATCCATGGGCATTTCCATCTCCTAAAAATTCTTTTACAACTCAAAATAAAGAACATAATGGAACATTTCTCTTAAGATACATAAGTCATCGGTATACCTGTTCACTAGACTTAACATCTTTAATTTCTGTGTGGGTTTCTTAAAGAAGGTTTGAATCTTTGTGTGGAATGTCAATATAAACGAGAGACTTCATATTTTTTAATGGGACTCTAATTCTTAAAATATATACATTTGTAACCCTTTTCATAACGAATTTAATGACTACATATTCAAAATTGTTGGAAGTTAAATGATAGGAACAGTTTAAATCATTAAAGTCATCAAAGTAATTTTCAATTTAATTGACTTTGTTTTATTAAATGTTCGCAAAATAATGACTTAACTTTTATATACTTTTAAATACATTGAATGAAAAATAATAAATTTTTTTCTTTAAGTTAAAATTAAGTTTCTTTAGTTTTTTTTTTCCAATTAATTAATACATTTGATATATTTTTCTTTGAAAAAACCCGCACAGAAATGAAAGATGTTAAGTCTAGTGAACAGGTATATTGATAACTTATGTATGATAACTTAAGAGAAATGTTCCATTATATTCTTTATTTTATTAAATTGTAAAAGAACTTTTAGGAGATAGAAAAATTCATGGATTGTACTTCGGTTATTTGACCACAATCCGAATATATGTTCTTTGAATTCGTTATGAAAAGAGTTATGAACATAGGCGTTTAAAAAATTAGAATTTCATTAAAAAATATGAAATTAACTTTCATTTTATCTCAGCACTTCACTTGAAAATCAAACTAATCTAGCATTATCATATGTTCCTTTTGAAGTAACTTTTATCTGAAACATTTCCTTTTGCTTTATTTTTATATATTTTTATATATTATCTTAATGTTAATACCTTACTCTATATTATTATAACATTTACATTTTTAGAAAATGATACATAATATGATGGACAAAACTATACATTGGAAGTTTTTGGAATCATTAGAACCTGCCCGTGTCGTACATATGAGGACTACAGACGTAATAACAAAAGAAAATGTTTTCGCACAAATTACTGTTCGATTTCATACGCAACAGGTTTGCAACAAGACTGTTTTCTAAAATTAAATTTTTTTTCATAAGAACAATAACGCTTAGATGAAAAAAATCATCTTTCTATTTTTTATGCAGATATTAGCGATTTACGATAGGTTCGGTCGATTAATACAAGGGAGTGAAATCCTGAGAAAAGATGTATTGGAATATATAGTATTTGAAAAACATTTAGCTAACGAATATGGTATTTGGCGCATTCATGGTAAGATTATACCATCTTGGATGACTCCAAAGGATATATCAGAAGGCACATATGTTCTACCAAAACAGAAACATGATCCTATGCCCACTGAACCAGCTCCTATGGAAACTACATTAGTTGAAAATACATCAAAAGATTCCACAAATGTGCAATCTTTATAAGTGATGCTTATATTGTATTTTATCAATTAATTGTATTATTATTAAAATAGAAAAATATAGAAATAAGAACTTGCGTAAATGCAGGTAAAGGTGCCTCATAGCCTCACTCCTCCTTCAACTCATCCTTCGCTATCTCTGTGAGAAGCTTATTCTTGTCCATGATACCAGCACAAAGTTTCAGGGACAGTCCCTGGAAATAATCGCGCAGTACAACAAACGGAATTTTTTTGGTACTATTTGTCGGCAACTGATCACGTCGCCTGCAATTGACCACAGTCGTCAAGTTATCGAAACGAATGCCGAACGGATTCATCAGCGGCTGCGAGGAACGATTGCCGCCTCGATTAAGTTATGACCTCTGGCCAATTATACTTGCCTCACGAGTGTGTCGTCCGACATATTTGTAGCATGGATTTTCAAGTACTTAAAAACCTACGTAATCTTTCCACATATTCTATATCGTTGAATTAAGCCGTGCGCTTTAAGAGTTTTTTTTTTTTTTTAGTTATAATCTGCTCGCATTTCTGGGATTTGCAATTTGGATATAGATTATGTATACAGGGTGTTCAAAAAGTTCCGGTACGACCATGTAACTCTTGAAATATTGGATATCGTAAAAAATTTTTTCGGCAAAAGTTGCAGGGAATAAAAAAAGGTATTCAATAGTAATCTTGACCTTTAACCTTGAAGTAACCTTCAAAGTCAAATGAAGATCAACCCCGTTTTTTCAAATAGAAGCATGTGTTTTTGATAGCGGAAATAGAAAGAACATAAAAAATTACGTCCAGATATATCCTTAGTCACGTTGACCTTTGACATCTAGAGGTCATTTCAAGGTCATTGAACCTTACATTTCTATAAGTTACGGTATGGCCGGATAAATCTAGAAATATTGGTTGTCATAAGAAACTTCTTCGACAAAAGTTGCAGGGAATAAAAAAAGGTATTTAATGATGATGTTAACTTTTGACCTTGAGGTAACTTTCAAGGTGAAATGAAGGTCAACCTCGTTTTTTCAAACGAAGCATGTGTTTTTGATAAATTGAAAGAGCGTAAAAAATTACGTCTAGATATGTCCTTAGTCATGTCGACCTTTGACCTATAGAGGTCATTTTAAGGTCAGAGGTCAAGGTCACTTTTGAATACCTTTTCTTATTCCTTGCAACTTTTGTCTAAGAAGTTTCTTATGACCAACCAATATTTCCACTTTTTAAATACCCTGTATAACCATGCGCGCGATTTTGCAGCACTATTTCCTATCAAGTATCTCAAGATCGAACACAGATGCATTCCCCATTAAACGATAACAATTTCGGTTTCTGAAATTAATGACTAAGTTATTTTCATAACTTTATAAGCTACAATTATGAATTATTAGTCCGAAAGTGTTTATGAGTTTATTTATAACAATGTGACGCAGAGAAAATATCCATGTTTGCTATAAACACAAAAGAAAATAAAAAATAAATAACATAAAAGAAATAATATCTAATCACTTTCTGTTTTGCTCAACCTCATCCTGTTATGCTTATTGTTGGCAAAATAGTTAATAATTAATAGTTATATAATAGTTTAATAGTTATAATTTGAAATTGGTCTGTTCCTTTGTGTAAAAAAAGATAGTCTAATTGTAAAATTAAGTGTAATTATTGCACGCAGAATTCGTGATGAGCAATAAAGCATTCCGTACCTTATTCGCACGTATCAAGGTTGATTGCTCATGGCGTTATCAATTATTAATTCATGGATCGTCACGTGTACGTACATATATCCAGCGGGAACACCAAAAAGACATCGAAATGCTTGTAGCGTGCGCAACTTGTGTACTAAGAGGAGAGCTATAATCAATACGATGAACATAACTAAATTGAAAAAATATCGTCTCATTAAGGCACATTAAATTTGAAAACTGATGCGATTCGCCGATTGATAAGGCATCAAGTATGCTAAGAGGATTAAAACGCTCTAAACTAATGCGGTGCGTGACGTATATACACTCGCTCACGATCCTTTCAATCATTGTAAAACAATTGGTGTATCGATGACTCCGTTAATTGTGTGCACACAGCTGCGTCGTATCGATGAAATGTAATATCCAAAAGATCTTTCACTCTTCACTTATCAGCTCTTTCTGAAATGATCGGTGATCAAAGATATTATTGGGCGTGGTGAAATGTTTGAAAAGACAATAGGATCGATCAGAAATACTTTCATCGACGAATATTTGTATTCGACATATATGCACGTGTACGCGACATGCACGGAGAAGAGCAAACATTTATTTAGCAAGAGAAGGAAAGAAAAAAAGCACGGTGTTGATTTATAATCCTTACGTCCGGCTTGTAATAAAAGTGAAGCATGTGGCTGGCGAACCTAACACCGCGTATACGTTGCGCACGTAGAAGTGAGCTTTTAATTGGACGTTTTTAGGTATCACCGGGCGTCCACGTATTCTTACGACGCTCCGACCTCTTACACGCGTCTTTTCCCTGTGTGTTGTGTGCGTTCGTAGATGAAGAAAAACGACCTGATTTATTTACATTTATATTAGATAAAGCTCATGTTACTCTTTGCAAGCCACGCTCTTCGCCTTATTAAAAAAACTGTTGAAACATTTTTATGTGTGTGTCTATGAGCTACCCTGGTATATTCAGACATAATTATTTATGCAATAATTAGGAACAAATTCGTCACGCAAGTATCTTGGTTGTAAATTAATTGCAAGCTTTGATCGATGATTTGATTCATGGTAAATTCGTGAAACACGCGTTTAAATCGGAAACGCTCTATAAGACTATAAATTTCTTCTTCTTCTTCTTCTTCTTCTATATCTGGTTTCGAGGGAAGTAGGTATCCTCATACGTCATTCTTTATATCGAGTGTTAAGAAATATAGGGACTTCGCGTATGCAGTCTCAATAGTCAAAAGTTACACGTAGTTTCGTAGTGACAAAAACCACATCCAACGGCTTATACGAAGGCCAACGAAAGACTATAAAATAAATTTGACATACTTGTAAATGTATGTTATATCGTTGTCTACATCCCAAGATTTTTCGTCCAGGTTTGATAATCCAACATCTTGCACCCGGTTGCTTCATCATGATATTACTCGTTCCTAACACTGACACTTGCGTAGGTACTATGTAACCTAAAAAATGCGTGTTGATCAATGCAATAGAGGACTCGATGAAATATCTTAAAAGCCGAAGGAAATTTATAAACACACCGATACACACATTCCACATGTATGAGTTGCTCGCCAATCGATGATGAGCACATTCAGTGGCCGACAAGCAACGCTTTGGAAACACTGCAGGTCCCCAAGCTAGCCAAATCATCAAATTACAAATGACAGCGTAAGAAATTATAGCAATTAGAGCATTAAAGAACACTCCGTATTAGTGTTGCACCTTGACATTTCCCAACGGTCCTTCAAGTTCGATGAAATTTGCAGAGTTAACGGGGAACCAAAATATCGACTCGGGTAAACCCAGCTCGCAGTCCACCTTCCGGCGACGCATTAGTCGTATTAAACCATTAGATAGCCGACGGTGCGTTCTAGGGTGTGTTTACATGGCCGGTGTAACGCGAACACGACCCATTTTCGATTTAGATCGCGCTAGCGCGCTCGAGAGACCGCTCGTAGTAGCGCGCGATGCGCGACAGAGAAGGCATTTAGCTCCACTGCGCAATTAGAGATCCTTTATGCAATGTCAAGCGCTCCGTTATACGCCAGTTACGGACAATGAGTACACGCGAATTACCACGAATGGACCCGTTCACTGTTCGTTAAAGCCACTCGGCAGGAATGTCCAGGTTGAACGGCTTTCCGTTGCTTTCTCAAACGCAACGCGTAGTCGGCCATAATGTTACTTTTGTTGGTCGAATTCAATTGTCGGACCGACACCGATTACCGATTATCGTCGAACTAGTTCCGGCGCACCCGAACTGTCGCATCTGCCTGCTATTTGCGCCATGTACAGGACACTCGACGCGAAACGATCTCCATTTTTCGTAACTTCTGACGCTGACGGCACCCTGCATGTTTGCGGAGACATGATATCGCGTTTCAAATATATGTCCGAGTGCACGTGTATTCGAGCGCATGCCGTACTGATACATACTGAAGAACCTGCGAAAAGGAGAATGAAAAATGTACAGACTCGTCTGTCCAGTTATCCTTGACGTAGTCATTCTATCCCTATTTTATCTTATCGATGTACAATGACGGACGATATACCGGACGAATGTCCGGTTTGTGCACGTCGACTGACGAGGAAAGCACTCGACGGCGTTTGTTCATCGTCGCTTGTTACGCGTGCACGATCGTACTTACTAATTACGGTCGCTGTTGTATATTGTCCGCCTGTCTTCCGGTACGGAGACGAAACGCGGAAGGTATCACGAACGTCGAGTGTCCCCGAATGTCATTTCTTTGATTCGCTACCAGGGATCCGGACCTGATCGGTATCGGAACCGATAACCACTTCGAAACCGATTTTTATGCTCAAACCGTAACCATAACCGTACCGAAATTTTATATTTTATCAAACAGACCGAAACCGAGATATCGGACCGATAAAAATATTTTCGGTTTTCGGTCCTTTTTTGGTTTCTACGACACCCCATGTGTCGCTGCCGCCGATTATTTATTAGAAAATTCACACCGCAATCAACGTATTACAATAGTTACGTTCAGGTCCTCTGTTCCGTTACTGTGGTTCCGATAGTCGTTGATGTCATGCAGTGCAAAACAGCATTGCACAGCTTTTTTACTGTATATGAATTATAAGGATAAAATAAAAATTTCATATTTTGTGATCACAGTCTCAGAAAATAAAACAGGCAAAACGACCGCTGGAAACAGATAGCTATAACGTTGCCATAAAAATCTCAAAAACAGAGGAAGCAATACCAAGTACAAGTACATACATCAAATCGAAACCATTAACGGTGGTTAAAATTGATGAAAAATGACGCTTAAATTAAATTATTTTTGTGAAGAAAATTCGTTTATATATTACATATTGTAATATTATAATTTACAAAAATATTTATACAAAACAATTTTGAAAAAACCGTAACCGAAACCGAAAAAAACATTATTTTTAACAGTTCCAGACCCCCGTTATGCCTAACCGGACCGAAACCGAAATTGAGAACCGTTACGAAATATCTTGTTGGACCGTAACCATAACCGGACCGAAATTTTATTTCGGTCCGGATCCCTACCGACAATTTCCAACGGCGACTCAGCGATACCAGTAGCGGTAAGTCAATATGATTTCGCGATAGGATCTGTCGTGCCAAGTTCCACTCTATGAATTCTTTGAAAGAGAATTTTCACCCAACTTTCACAAAATTCTCACCTAATGTAAAATTGAGTTTTCCTTGATGGAGAAGGCTGAGGGGTCCTCCCGAGAGAGGCTCAGCCTCGAAACTGCAAAAACAAATAGTAAATTAAACAAAAATAGTGAAATTTATCGAAAGGAAAAGAAAGCGATCAAACAGCCAACGCTCTGACTTGAATTGTACGCGAAGTATCTGAAGGTCACCGTTAAGCATATACAGAAGAAGCGTCCCGATGAAAAACGCGCTTGTTGTGTTTGTTCGCTGTACCGACGTGTAATTACGTCTGCTTCGACGTATACTCGGTTTTCTTGAACGTCTCGATAACGGAAGCGGAAGAAGCACGAGTCAGACCGACCGGAGATTCCACCTCCACTTCTGTCCTGTTCCCTTCTATCACGAGGAGTACCTCAGTTACACGCCACGGGGTTGAGAAGGCGGACGCGTTCGTTCGGTGTTCCATCCTCCAGCGGCGCGCATTACGCGCCCTTCACGTGTCGCGAGAAAGATAGAGAACAAGAGGGAAATAGCTCTTATCAGACGCGTTATTTCGTCCGAACTAATTTAACAGAGGAAATAAATACATATCATCGATCGATTCGTCGTCGCTTTTATCGCGAGCCGGCGAACCCGAAAATCTTTCCCGCCCTTTCAATGAACCGCACGCAACTATTTGACACTCTTCGCTCCAAAACCCTTGTTGTCCTAATGACGTGTTAACGAATGCTCTGCGATACCTCAATCGACGTGCGACGGCAGTTCTCGCTTTCGGTGGACGGCAGATCGCACAGTGAGAACCCATCGGCCGGTGTCTTCGCGAAGACGTTTGTCCAAACGCGACACGTAGCGGAAGAATTTGCCGTTTCGAATCAGTCCATCCGGGTATAATGAGCGGGTAAGGATAATAACGACGCACGTGTGTAATCATGATCACATTATGTCGCAAATGTGATGCGAGCGACGTACAAGACGAAGTCAACTCATTCACTTCCGACGCGTTCGTCGCGCGCGTCGTAGCGACGCGACGCGCCCGCGAATTCGCGTGACATGGCAAACCTTATTAGATGATATCGCGCGCGGAAATCCATCTTACGCGCTCATGTCGAATGTCGCTCTGTAAGTAATGAACGGAGAACACGGCGGCGGTTAACGCATCACGCGACGAGTGAGCGACCGGTCAATCGATCGTCCGTTCTTTCGCTCGTTCGTCCGTTCGTTCGTACCGTCGGACGTAAGCGGCACGATCGACTCGCGAGGATACACGAGGCCGAAACAACTATCAAACGTCTGCTAAAGAAAGAAACTGTTAATGAGATCGCAAGGGCACAAAGATTGATGAATCACCCGGAAAAGGAGAGAAGACAAGTGCGAGCTAGCATATAGATTGTGATGTGATGTTAAGACTTTGATACAAGTTTTACGCGTGGAACTAGTGGCAGGACACGCCTCGGTAGAACAGAAGTCAACAGAGGAGTATTAGTATCGCGCTATTTGCAGGATCAATGGAAGTGATTGTCAAGGTGTGTAGGTGTGAATATATTGAAATGTTTTACAAAGCTAGAGCTACCTAGAGCGTCAAAAGATTGCCTGAAATTGTGGCCAAAGACATATTTTAGACCTAGAAGCGTCCTAGAAGAGATAAGAAAAAGAATTTAAGGAAACGCTCTCGTCATTTTTGCCGAGTTGCAATCTCAAGGCCGCGATGAGACTACAGCTGGTGTCGAAAGGAAACGTCGCGATGTCAGGTCCATCCCCTCGTCACAATCACGCCCGTTGAATCAACACGTAAAATCAACGAAGATCATGTATCCCGGACGGCAGCAGTCCTCGCATTAGCCGAGTCGCGATGGAATTTCCATTGAACGCAACGACCGAGCTGTTCAACCACTCGGATTACTTCAACACCGCCACTCCGACGAATGTTTCCGCCACTACCGCAGACTCGGAACTAAATCTGCCCTATACCGTGTGCGAGATTCTCGTGGCGATCTGCGCCGTCTTTGGCAATGGCCTGGTCATCATCGTTTTCGGCAAGGAGCGGAAGCTACGCAGACGCACCAACTACTATATCGTCTCGTTAGCCGCGGCCGATTTGCTGGTCGGCCTATTCGCCATCCCCTTCGCGATCCTGGCGAGTATCGGCCTGCCGACGAATCTACGCGCCTGTCTCTTCACCGTATCGGTCCTCGTGGTCTTATGTACCATCAGCATCTTCTCCTTAGTAGCGGTGTCCGCCGATCGCTACTGGGCGATACTGTACCCCATGGGATATTCGCGCACGGTGCGCACCAAAACTGCCATAGGTGAGGGATTACCACGCGCGTCCTTCCTTCCACCATGCTGTTAATTTGATACTCGATACGAGGCGCATCCCGTGTCACGAGATTAATGGGAGGCACATACGCGTGCGTTCATCCAACAAGGCGACTGAGTTCGCCTACCCGCTCGTCTGCTCTTGAAATGCGATGGACACTTGACAATTTATCTGCGGATTTTCAAAACAATTCTCGCGATACAGCCGAGTAATTGTTAATTTACGCTCTTCGAGCGTATCAGCATCGAGCTTACTACGTACTACCATGCATGGCACCTTGAACAGTGTATTCTCGTGAGATTATTCTCAGAATGCTCAGACGGCTAATCATTTCGATCGTGTCGATTATATTGATATCTTGAGAAAAAAACAAGAGACCGCGTGAATAGCTTCGCAATGTCATAGGGCGATATTCATAGTCGAATCTTATATTTAAGACCGTCTTAAGTTTATCTTCAGATGTTGTACAAATAATTTCATTGGCTATGGGGATATCCGAAAGTGAACTTAAGACTGTCTTAAATATAAGACCTGGCTATGAATACCGGCCATATAGTCTCAATGTCCGACACGTGCTCGTGGATACAACTACGACGAACGATCGCGCGGCATTGTTCGTGCGATTCGTGATCGCGCCGTATTTCTTTTAAATCGCGTCGCGTGATGTCACATTACGTCGTACCGACTACGCCTTCATTAAGCATTGCAATAAACTGATAATGACGCTGTTCAATTAATTGTATACTTCAAAAATACCGTTGACTCTTTTCTCTCTCTCTCTCTCTCTCTCTCTCTCTCTCTCTCTCTCTCTCTCTCTCTCTCTCTCTCTCTCTCTCTCTCTCTCTCTCTCTCTCTCTCTCTCTCTCTATCTTTTTATAGCTATATCTTCTCGTTCCATTCAGAAGTCAGATTTCAGAGAAAAACGAGTAAACGGTCAGAATCCATTGGACGTGCCAATTTCCGAGTCTCGAGAACATTCCGAAACGTCGCTTTCTGTGTGTTGCTCTCGATAGAGTGCATTTCCCTGCGGAATAGCTTTTCCCGCGTATATCGAGCGAATCGATAAGAAGCCCCATGTGTGCCTCCGCACACATACACATAAAAATTGCACGAGATAGGACTGTGAGTGTGAAAAAATGAAGTTCACCGCTAATAGCGATGAATGGCCGATAGATAACGAACGGAAGCGCGAGCGCGAGTCATTATCCGAATCAACTACGCGTAGTCGGCGCGACGACGCGACATCGACGTCAACGACGACGCGACAACGACACGACGGCGCGTCGATTCATCGGCTCTATCTACCAACATGCGTATTGTGCCTCTCGATGTTTCAATAGTTCCTGATTTCATAGATATGACCAGCACTCGACGAGCCATTCCAATGAGAGCGACTGTAATCAGCTCGAATCGAAGTCCGCATGAAACCGCAAGAGAGGAATCTTCGGAGACATCTGAAACATTTCAAACACCATCATTCACTTTGTAGTCCCACTTGTTCGTATTTGTGTTTTCATGTTAAAAAAGAAAGACCGATTGCTTTCAGGTATAATATGCGTGTGTTGGATAGCGGGCACATTGGTAGGTTTCCTGCCGCTTCTAGGATGGAATGCCAGCCAGACGGACGGCCACAGATGTATCTTCACGAAAGTGATGGACTACAATTACCTCGTGTTCCTGTACTTCGCCACCATCATCTTCCCCGCCCTGCTGATCGCGGCCTTTTACGCCCATATATATCGCGTGATCGTGAAGCAGGTCAGTCGTTGAAAGGCACGAACGAGCTGTGACGCGCAAAAGTAGCCAAAAAGTATGACAAATACGACGGTCATAGTTACAGCAAATCGTCACGGTGGACTCCAGTGGTAGTAATGCCGCGGCCGATCGCCGTCTCGGTGGTGGTGGTCTTCGCCGTGGTCGCGCGAGTAATCAGGCGACAGGGACAATGCTGCGAGTGCTTGGCGCGGCGCGCAAGAGAGAGGTCAAGGCCACGCAGAATCTCTCGCGTATCGTCCTCTTCTTCATCATTTGCTGGTTTCCGCTCTACACCATCAATTGCGTGATGGCGTTTTGCTCCGAATGCGAGGTGAACGACTTCTTCATGAACTTCTGCATCATTCTCTCGCACATCAACTCGGTTGGCAACCCGCTTCTCTACGCCTACCATCTCAAGGACTTTCGCGCCGCGTTGAAGAATTTTGTATGGCGACTGCTGTTCCCACACAGCGACGTCAAGTCCAGTATGATCAGTGTGATCCACGACCGAGGATCTCTCGTCGGGTCGCAGAGACAGCTTCAAGCGCGATTTAGTGGCCTCGCTCAGCCGGGAAGTCGAAAGTCGAGTTTGCTGCGTCAGGTGCGTGAATCCTTTCATTTGCATGTTATATTCCCATGCCTCATCATTTGCTCAATTTGCACCGGTGTCGAGGTGAAGTAAGATCTTCATCTACATAGTACATATAAATCTACATAGTACATATAAATTGCACACAAGAATGTGATTCAACGTCATAATTATTCTCACTCGAAAGGCTAAAAATAATCGCGCACATACAGAAACTTGAAAAAAAGAACTTGATTGATTAATAACGTTTGTAGTAAGCATCTTATTGACCTTTATGATCCTTACGTTTGTTCTATTTCAACGACATTGCAGGCTGTCGGCGACATGAGGGCAGGTGGTGTGTATCCTGAGAGACGCATATCGTCGATACGAGAAAAAGAACAGCATCAAGATACGATGGATATCAATGCAGTCGGAACTGTTGTAATAATTAGCAATTCTACATTGAATGAAAAATCAAGCAAAGAAAAATCTGTTAACGATGCCGAGAAAGCAACCCATACTTCTTCGATAGAACTACAAACGTACAAGTCATTGGCGCCACTCCTGCCCGCCGAGGAAGACCATGTGGAAGAAACACCGCCCGCATCGATCTTCGTGATTGAAGCTGATGTAAATCAAGCCACTTCTGATCGTTTCCACTTCGCTCTGCGTCTCTCGTCGCCCGACGAGGAATCTCGGGAAAGAATCGATGTAGCAGTCGGATAATCGATCCGTAATGATGAACGAGATGACGTGAAAACTAGTCACGTCCATTTGTGTACTATTAGAACAATAGCCCTAGTATAATGCCCGATTGTTATGTGAATGTTGATGAGTTTAATGAATTTCATAGTTATACCTTGCTCCTCGTCTCTGTTACGTATTTATTTCGCATCGATCATATTTAGTGCCAGTAAGATTGTTTATGCTGTCTTAAATGAAGAAATGTTTCTGAAATAGTCTCTGATACAGTTGTGAGTCTTTCAAGTTATAGTTATGCAAGTTCTCCTATAGTTATAAGGCTCCGAATCCTCTTTAAGAGGCCTGATCATGACTGTGTGAATAAATAAGTCAGCTGAAAAGAGCACGCATATGTACGATAGCACATTCGGGACTTTAATGTTAATTAACGTGGACACATAAGTGTGTTATTGCGTTGCAAAGAAAATTGGTGTCATTAACATATGTAATTCATACATGTATATTAGAGATGTGTGAATCAAGAATTTTTATGTCGAATCGAATCGAATCGAATCTCATTTTTTAAATTCAAATCGTATCGAATCTACGAAATTTCACTCGAATTCAAATCGAATCGAATGAAATCGAATCGAATCATTAAAAAATTTAACATGACTATTAAACATGCAAATAATAATGGAAGATTTTAATATGAAAGGGAATATTGATATTGTAATATCATTTTAAAGTAAAATATATATTTAAATATTTAAAGTAATTTATAATTAAGTTATTAATTATAAGTTAATTACAAGTTAAGGGTTCAAACATATAGGACCAAATGGCCTGTTTTGTAGCTAATGTACGCAAACGATAATGTATTTGATTCCTATTCGAATTATTCGGATTCAAATCATAGGGATTCGGATTCGAATCGGATCGAATTACATTAGATTCGATTCGATTCGATTCGAATTTGAATAGTTCACACATCCCTAGTATATACAGGGTGCTAAATTTCAAACGTAACAGGTAAAAAATCTCGAAACTTATCGACCTTTGGAAATTTCAAAATTATTAAATTAACAAAAGTTAGAGCACTATTATAGTAATATATTCTTGATAGTAAATAAAGTAAAGAAGTCTAATACTATTCTTTCTTTCGACGAATAGTTAGCGAGATATCGTAAGTTAAATGTTGAAAAAGTTATCAAGTTTTCCTTAAATATTTCAAAAAATATTAGAGAAGTAAAAAAATATTTCAGATAAAAGTTGTTAAAATTAATTGGTAGAAAAAGAAGATATAATAAAAAATTGGGCTCTCTATTTTAAAAATTAAGTTGACCTTCAACTGATCTTGAAAATGCCCTCCAAATAAAAGCGGATAATGCTATTCTCTTTCCCCTTCGAAATCATGAAACACGTGTTTTAACTTTTTTTAATATCTTTCATAAATTTTTAATATCTTCTTGAGATTTTTTACCTGTTACGTTTGAAATTTAGCACCCTGTATACAAGATGGCTCACGTAAAGCGTTATAAGTCCATAACTTTAAAAATATTTACCAAATCAAAAAATTGTTCGTAAGGAAGTTTCACGTATTCGAGAGGGCTCTCTAACTACATAAACGTAAAGTCGCCCCCGCTCCCCCTTTAAGGAGGAACGGGGGTAACTTCATAATTTTAAACGGAACCTCCTATAAAATATTACATATTTGGATTCTACGGGAGAAAACAAATAAATTTATCTGAAACTTTATCTGAAACATTTGTTTGGAAAATGCTTCTATCAAAAGTTATAAGCATTTAAAACTTTAGCGATTTCATTCATGATTGAACTCCATTGACATAAAGTTACGTTCACGATACAACAAAAACAAAAAAAGACCTTAGAGTACATACTTGATGTTAACCAAAAAAGACATAAATAAACACATTTATTTGTCTGTGATCTGTATTTACGTTTCCCGATAAATGTATTTATTTATGTTTCTTTTGGTTAACATCAAGTATATACTCTAAGGTCTTTTTTGTTTTTGTTGTATCGCAAATGCAACTTTGTGTCAATGGAGTTCAATCATGAATGAAATCACTAAAGGTTTAAATACTTATAACTTTTGATAGAAGCATTTTCCATACAAATGTTTCAGATAAAGTTTACTTGTTTTTTCCCGTAGATCCAGATATGTAATATTTTATAGGAGGTTCCGTTTAAAATTATGAAGTTACCCCCGTTCCTCCTTAAAGAGGGAGCGGGGGCGACTTTACGTTTATGTAGTTAGAGATCCCTCTCGAATACATGAAATTTCCTTATGAATTTTTTGATTTTGATTTTCCTTATGAATTTTTTGAAATATTTTTAAAGTTATGGACTTGTAACACTTTACGTGGGCCACCCTGTATATACACGCACATATGTACATATATATATTCACTACTTATTGTTATGCCTGAATTCCTAACGCATATTCAATATTCAATAAACTCTCATATACTTATTAGTTGGGCTAATTATGCATATAATCGTTAAATTACCTTCCTAACTAATAAAAGTCTATCTTGCTCCCGAATGAAAGAAATTTTTGGCCAGAGTTGTAAATCGTGGAAATAAGGGTGTCCCAAAATTCACGCAAGTAATTTTAATAGAAAACACAGGTTTATAATTAAAAATTGTAAATTTTTTATTGATTCATAAATACAGTATAGGGTTATGTATGGAATAGCATATCGGGTAAACGGCCACAGCGAAGAGAGTTCGTTGAATGGATTATGGAACAACAACAAGTAGATGCTGATTTTTCGAACAAAATCATCTTCAGCGATGAGGCTCATTTTCATCTTGATGGCTTGGTTAATCGACAAAATTGTCGCATTTGGAGTTCAAAAATCCACGAGTGATTGTTGAGAAACAAATACATCCACAACGTGTCACTGTTTGGTGCGAATTTTGGGCTGGAGGCATCATCGGACCATTCTTCTTCGAAAATGCGGCTGATCAGGCAATAACAGTTAATGATGTTCGCTGACGCGACATGATAATCCAGTTTTTTGTGCCTAAATTGCAAGATATGGATGTGGACGACATGTGGTTTCAACAAGATGGTGCCACATGCCATATAGCCCGAGAAACAATTCAATTACTGCATGAATCATTTCCTGGTCGTGTAATTTCCCGTTTTGGTGATCAGATCATGCGATTTAACGCCGTTGGACTTTTTTCTTTGGGGTTTTTTGAAGTCTAAGGTTTATGCCAACAAGCCCACGACTTGAGGAAGGAAATTGAGCACTGTATCAATGAAATTCAGCCACATTTATGCAAAACGGTCATGGAAAATTTCAACGAAAGAGTGCATATGTGCCAGCAAAGCCGTGGAGGCCATTTACTCGATATGCTATTCCATACATAACCCTATACTGTATACTTTATGAATCAATAAAAAATTTACAATTTTTAATTATAAACCTGTGTTTTCTATCAAAATTACTTCTTGCGTGAATTTTGGGACATCCTTTATAACTGGTGATTTAGACAGACTGAACAGCTGTTAAAATAGTCAATATATAAATATTACAAAGGACTCCGCACAATTCTTTATGTAAATTGAATTTCGGTGGAATAGGCTGAATATTTGATATGTTGTAGATTTTGTCTCTCTGATAAAAAGTTCCCATAGGCACAACTCCCAATAATTGACCATTTAACTTCTGTGAACTTCAAATTTAAAAGTGTCTAATATTACAATTTCTTATTTTCAACGAGTAAGATGTATTCCTATTTTGATTTACATCTAAAAACTTTTTTCTGTGTATATTTAAAAATAAAAAGCTATAAAGCTAACATTGACTTGAAGATGATGACTTAATTTCAGAGATTTCGATGATACTTTTATTTTCTATATAAAACACGTGTTTCAATATATAATACATTGAACAACTAAGTATATCATTCGATTATGTTGCGCTTTCTGTTGAGAACACAAAGCACACCTTTTTTAATTAAACTATATATATTTTAAAGCGTAACAATTCAGTATATTTTTGATTCATTAAAAAATCACTTTTTCATTACATGTAATGTTCAGTAGCTAATAATTCCACTGCGTTCCGATGCGATATTTAACAGTCTAGAAAAATCTACATTATCCCACTATTACACAATACCCGCACTTCCTCTATATTGAATATTTAATATTGATTAAAATGGCAAATAGAAATCAAATGCCTTGTTTTGTTTGTGATCGAGTTTTGCGTCCAAATGAGTTAGCTCGATTAAATGGTAACGATAATGCGATAAAACGAGAAATAGCTATGAGAAGTTGCAAAGAAGCTGATAGGCAAGTTGATTTGATGGATGATGCACGCTTGTGTCTTAATTGTAAATGAACCAAAAATATTCTGGATTGTTACGCTTTAAAATATAGTTTAATTAAAAAAGTTGCGCTTTGTGTTTTCAACAGAAAGCGAAATATAATCGAATGGTACGCTTAGTTGTCAATGTATTAGACATTGAAACACGTGTTTCACATAGAAAATAAAAATATCACTGAAATCTCTGAAATCAACCCAGACAGCACACGGATGTCCATTGGACGTCCGTTATATGTCCATTTTTTTTACAAAAGACGTCTATAGAACGTACGTTTGTCACAACTTCGGACATAGGACGTCCGATGGACGTACATCGGACGTCCTACAGGTCCGATGTCCAATAAGGACATCCTTGTTACGTCCAATTTATGTCCACAGACGTAAATCGGACATATGGACATAAATTGGACGTGAAACGTACATCCATTGGATGTCCGGTGCTGTCTGGGAAGAAGACAACGTTCTTAAGTCTACCTTAATTAGAGTCGTACCAAGGGCTGTTTCTGTCCGGATGTGAAACTATTCATCGCCGCCCTCCCATACAGCACAGCACCGTTGCAGCAACATTGCAGGAACGTTGTTTTGCAAGATTGCAACATTGCAGAAACGATGCGAAATGTTGCTGCGATGTTGCTGCAATCTTGCAGCAAAGGTAAAATGTCCGCTTGCAGCAATATTGCAATGAAATATTGCACTAAAATTGCAGTGTAACATTGCAGCAACATTTGTTGTATAATTTGTATGCAATAATGCTTTATATAGAGTGTCTTAAAAATATCGGAACCCCCGGATAACTTTGCAGGATCAAGTTTTCATGTAGAAAATCGAGTAACGGACTTGATGGTGACCTTGAATTTGACCTTGGCCATGACTTTCAAGGTCATTTAGAGGTCAACTTGCGTTTTTTAAATGGGAACCCTTATTTTTTATTACACTGTTTATTACACTGTTTTTTTCTACCAATTAATTTGAACAACTTTTGTCTAAAACATTTTTTTTATTTGCCTAATATTTTTTGAGATATTTGAGAAAAACTTGATAACTTTTACAATATTTAACTTACAATATCTCGCTAACTATTTATCAGAAGAAAAAGTAGTATTAGACTATTTTACTTTATTTACTATCAAGAATATATTATTATAATAGTGCTCTAATTTTTGTTAATTTAATCATTTTGAAATTTCCAAAGGTTGATACGCATTAGAGAAATAAAAATTTGTAATTAAATTTTATATATTGATATAAAAATAAATATTTTTTGCATTTCAGAATTTTATTGTTGTGATAAACCTTTCCTTTACGTATTTTTGAATGTTTATTTTGCTAATAATTACGAATAGTGGAGAATTGAGAATAATGTCCATTTTAGATCTTTGGTTTGGATATTCTATGGACGTCTAGAATTGTAAAAAACGGACGTCCTATGGATATCCAGTGAACGTCCGTCGAATTTTTTTGGACATCTTATGGACGTCCCGAAGTCCAAATTCGGATGTCCACTGGACGTCCGTTGGACATCCGTGTGTTACCTGGATTTTGATATTTTACGATACCTTTTTTCCATTATCCATTTCGAATTATGTTTCATATTCCGGCCACGATATTCCTAAGAGGGTGCTAATGCACAGTGAGATTTCTCTGGTACACCAAATCCTATAGACCAATAGTTTTTAATAGTAGGAAGTTTTTGCGATACCGTCTCTCAGGTACGGTAAACGTAAATCGTGAACGTTATTCGCTCAAAAATAACGTGGAACACAGCCTATGAATACCAGTCTATATTACCTCGGCTGTGTTCCGATATTCACTATCAACATTGAAATTCTATAGCATACGTGACACAAACTATATATTTTCAGTACTGGCAGTGAATTTCGAAACGCAGCCCTCGTCGGTGCCTAACCTAACCCACCATAGACATAGCACGGAACAAAACCATAAAATTGTAAACATTATTGCTTATCTACTGAGAAACATAATGGATAATAGCTACGTAGTTTATGTCCATAAAATGGACATAGAGGCGCTTAAAAATAGCTTTACAAGAAACTCGCTGCCATGACCGCTCTTAGAATTCTCTCTGGTTATATACTATCGTTTTCAAGTCTAGGCGTGTGTGCATATATGTGTGATACGACACACTCGTATTAATTTTCTTCAATATTTATTTCTCATATTTAAATCTACGATAATTACGATATTTTTTATCCCGTTTGTAAAATCCCGTTTCAACCTATACATAAAAGTTATCAGTTGTTTTCATGATTATAAATAATAAAATAAACGATAAAATACACTACAGAACAGGTATAATGTTTTAATTACTGTGTTACTCATTTTGCACTTGTAATTATTATATTCTTCACATATATACATTATTCATATATTTTTTTACTAATCTAGATATACCTAGATAATCTAGACATATCTATATTTTGTCGTTTCATTTATATATTTATATTTCTCGAGGAAAAAAAAATTATCTGAATTTTATTCATGTATGGCCATGTATAATCATGCATAATCATATATGTCCACAATAAAAAAAAGTATTATACAATAATCAAAATAAATACTTATGCTTTTGGCAGCACATGATAATAATGCTCATTTAAATAAAACTCTTTCCTCCTTTTTTAATTTAATATCATTCTTTTTTCATATAGACACATATGATTATATATGCGACCATATATAAGTAAAATTTATATATGCAATTTATATACAATCATATAATTGTATGTAATTGTATATAATCATGTATATATTGATCTTTTGTCTCTGAGTTAATATAATCATTTGTTATATATTTATATATAGTTTTATATGTTCAAATATCTTTGTAATCTATATACAACTGTTTACAATAAATACTTTGTAAATAGAATAGATACAAAATACTTTTTGACTTTACCGATACAATGCAGAGAGTAACTTTTTATTCTATTTTCAATGCTTTGGCAAATAACATACTGTTATTTAGTAGCAGTTTTAAATATAAATTTTCAAATATTTCTATGACCATCTATTGACTATTTTTAGAAAAATTGTTAATAATCTATTCTCTTTTAATTAAATTTTTTAGTTTTGCCATGACCCGCAAATGTGCATTATGTAAAGAGACCAATTACAAGAACAATTATAGCTTTTTCTCAGCACCTAAGGATCCAGAAATACGTAAAAAATGGCAAGTAGCTCTTGGCATCGAAAATTATCCTATTACAGATGACATATACGTATGCAGCAGACACTTTCATAAAAATGATATTATTACGCACTGGGTTAGTGGAGTACCACCACAAGTAATAAAGGTATGTTGTATGTATGTATATTTTTGTTTTATATACACATATATAAACATACACATATATATACATATATATACATATATACACATATATATATATACACATATAAAACATACACATATATATACATATATACACATATATATACATACATATATATATACATATATACACATATATATACATACATATGACACAAAACATCTTGAAATCATTCTAAATGTACTCAGGATATCCTGGGATTCCTACATTCGGAACATATTTTAGATAATTTTGAGACATGATCTTGACTACTTGAGTATATGTATGTATATTGGCAAAAAATTATATATATCAATTCATATGTATATTTATTAAAATATATACAAATTATTTATTGTTACAGATCAAATATAAAAAATGCCGATTACGTCCTGGAGCTGTACCAGGTAAACACTTTTACTTAGATAACAGTTCGCAATCAATAAACAAAGATGCTTTAAATAAAAATGAGGTGGATATGAATGATTTCTTGATATTCAGAGGAAAAAAAGACATAGATTCATTAAAGGATGAGAAAACTTTCCTAATACCTAGGAAGAAGAAACATGTGAATGGTAATGAACATATGGACAATAGAAATGGTAATGTATGTTATTGATATATATATATTCCAATCTCCAAGATTGTGCATATAATATCGATGAGAATTTTGAATGTAATAATATTCACTTATCAGGAAACATAAACAAAGTAGATACAAACGTTACTATGCAGAATTCAGAATTGAAAGAACCAAGAACTAAAAGAGAGGATAATGAGTCGGATAATATATTTGAGCATGATGATAGCTTAGATGTTTTTGCAGAATCAAACATTAAAAATACGAATATAAATAAAGAGGAAAGTCAAATATTGAATAAACCGTTGCACACAGATGCATTGAGTAAAACAGTAGAAAATAGTGTTAAAAAAAACGATTCTTTCAAGAAACATAAAAGCGAAAAAACACCACTAAAGATCTGGAAACCCAATGGTGTTTCTATGGATTCTGAAAAATCTGTTAATCACGATATAGAAATGACAGATTTATATATAAACAATCAAGTATTAGCGACTTTGAATTATGATAATTTATGTATACAGAACAAAATAGAATACAACGTCAACAAAAATGAAATATTATTTGAAGATTTTCTTGATGTATATACAGAAGTGTCTGTACCGCGCGGTTGGTCGTGTTTAGTAACGTCAAAAGGTCATAGCACCACAGTGGTATATCTCTGTATGGGGATTACAAAAAATGGGCTCCCTTTTGTAGAAAAACAAGTATTTATCAGGAGCGATATGATATTGCACTGTGCTGCAGTAAATAGAGAAATTGATCCAATAGTGCATAATTTGTTAAAGGAAGACAAACATATCAAAATAAAAAGTTTATTAGATATAGAAGAACTGGTTGATGAGTTTGATCGACGAATTATATGCCAAGGTAAAATAATAATAAAATAATAAAAATAATAAACATTATTTGCATATTTTTATACTCATTAGAATAATGTTTTGTTTTTATGCAAAATAGGTATATGCAACGAAAAAGATTGTGAACATATAAATATAGCAAAGGTCGCGTACAAAGATGGAATTAAGTGGCGTCATAGATTGTGTCCATTAATTGTAAACACTAACTTGTCTAGATGTACAAAATGTACTATATTATTTCGCACGTTAGTACATAAATCCCGAGAATCATTCTCCATTGGCTATGACAATCTTTTCAAATTTAGGAAACAAAAACGAAAAAGTACACATGCCATAACAAATCCAAAAACATACAGAAAAATGGAATCGTCAATATAAATATGCAGACTTTTAAAGAATAAGTTTATATCATTGTAAGTAGTAAACGATCTAATATATAGTTAATGAAAAAGACTTATGGCTTGGTACTAAGGACTAAGAATTGGTACTAATATGACCAAATGTTACTAATTTGCAAAGTTAAATATGTCAGAAACAAATATTTTGGCCTATTCTTTGAATCTCCTTCAAAATCAAGCTTCTTTATGTAAATAAAAATAAAAACAAGTTTCATAACTTAACAATAAAATCTACGTATATAAGTGTACAAAAATATACCTTTATATGTATAACAGCCCAAATAAAATATTATATTTCAGAAGAAATTTTTTATTTAAAATATGTTTCACACAAAAGTTATAAAATTTTATGAAGAGAGAGAAAAAAGACATTATATAATGACACCCATTAACCCATTAACGCCTGAAAGCACGAAAATTTCAGTTCATTTTTTAGCCTCATTCTCATTCATAGAAAGGAGAAGAATTTATGGCAAAACAGTGTTTTCTACTAAAATCGGGTCTGCTCTTTCCAATTCCGCCATTAAAAATCGATTTATCCCAACCAAAAAAAAATATGGCCGATTTTTATCCAAAAAAACACGAAAAAATAGATGAACGATTTTTTTCAAATAATTTTTTCGAATCGAAGCAGCATGCGAATTTAGATCTCGAGTCAACCAAGAGTGCATAAAATAGTTATACTTTCAAAATGTATTTTTTTTTGTTTTCATCTTGTTCTCATTTGTTTTCTTGTCTTCATTTGTTTTCAATTTGAAAAAATGAATAATCCAAGTTTTTCAGCTAAGTTTTCAGTTAACTTCAAGTTTATTTTAAAAGGAAGTAATTTGAAACAAATTTGTCATTCAAAGTATTCGCCGTTATTTTCTACAACTTTAAGCCATCTTTCAGGCAGCTGATAAAATCCATCTCGGAAAAATGTTGTGTCTTTGGACGCGATAAAGTCATCAAGCCATTTTTGGATCTCATCTACTGATTTGAAATGCATATCGGACAAGGCATCTTGCATCGACCGGAACAAGTGGTAATCAGTAGGAGAGATGTCTGATGAATATGCTGGATGTTGCAAAATGTCCCAGCCAAGTTTCATTATAATGTCTTTTATCGTAGAAGCAATGTGTAACTTAGCGTTATCATATAACAATTTGACAGGACGTTCCCCTTTGCCACTATACGGACGTTTTCGTTCTAATTCTTGATTCAAACGGGTTAATTGGTGTTGGTAGTGGTCAGCTGTAATTGTTTCATTCGGTTTTAATAGCTCATAATAAATCACGCCTTTTATATCCCACCAAATGCAGAGCAGAATCTTTCTGGAGTATTTTGATTTTGCGACTGATGTTGATGATTCGTCGGGATTGTCATAGAATATCCACTTCTCATTGCTCGTAATAATTTTCCACAAGAAAGACTTTCTACGTTGCTTATTAAGAAGAGAAAGACACACTGCTACTCGTTGATGTTTGTTAGTTTCGGTGAGTTCACGCGGAACCCATTTTCCTTCTTCGTGAATCTTTCCCATCTCGTGTAGACGTCTGCAAATAGTTTGTCGCCCTACTCCTAATTGCTTTGCAAGCTCTTTTTGCGTTTGTGCTGAATTCTCAGCGAGAAGTTGCTCCAAATCATTATTGTTGCACTTCCGAGGGCCTCCAGGACGTCCTTTGTCATTCAGATTGAAATCACCGCTCTTAAACCGTCTAAACCAAAATGCACACATAACGTACGATACAACACCTTCACCGAGAAGGGAACGAATCGATTCGAATGCTTTTACAGCATTTTTTCCTTGTTGGAATTCGTAAAGAATGCAGTGTCGGATATGCATCTTACTTGTTGTCATTTTTAACCGTACTAGACTGAATAATTTTTGAGGTTATATTGAGCCTTCCGCCCAGAACTGCCAAATCCGGGCCTTTTAGCAGTAGCATACGCTCCCAACGCGAGTCACTTATGCATATGCGCACAAGGTCTTCGCGCAAGTCGCGTGCCAGAAAGAGACAGCCATATGATTGTCGGTCTCCTTCTATCATTTAGGCGAACAGACAACATTCCGCCGTTCAACTCCGAATAAAATAAAGCGTGCGCGTAATATTTTTCTATCAGCGGCCAGCAAGACTTCGAGTCACCTTTTTTTCTAATAACTGCAACATTTAACATTATAATCGATTATTATTATCCCTCGTAAAAAAAACTAATTTTATACAATATCCCTTGCACGTCGAGACTAAAAATCGTAGGTGGTAAAATACAACGCGCACGCCTTATGCCGGTTTCAAACAATGTGGGAAATAAAGACGAACGTTAACAATTATTTTGTTCATATATGTCGGGTTAATATTTACACGGGAAAAAAGTAATCTTATTTTGAAAATATTATATTCTAAACATGTAAGTCTAGAAATAAAAATTATAAAATATTTTGAAGTAAGAAAAATTGCTTACATTAAAATATGCGAATATTATTTAATGTTTTAATGCTAGTAGTTGTCCTAGAATAATTATTATATTCGCAGAAACATTATTCTTTAATCAAGACGAATATATTCAAATTATTACAATCAATGTCTCATAAAGCAAACAAAGAATTTTATATTATATTATATGTTATATTCTTCGTTACATACGAAACTAATCGTTTGCTTTATATAAAACAATGAATGTATTAATTTGAATATATTAGTCTTGATTAAAGAATCCTTTTTCTTCTGTGACTATTAAATATTTTAATGTAAGCAATTTTTTTTACTCCAAAATATTTTATAATTTTTATTTTTAGACTTACATGTTTAAAATATAATATTTTCAAAATAAGATTACTTTTTCCCGTGTAAATATTAACCTGACATATGTAAACAAAATAATTGTTAACGTTCGTTTCTATTTGCCACATCGTTTGAAATCGATATAAGCTAGGCATGCGCGTTGTATTTTATCACTTATGATTTTTAGTCCCGACGTGTAAAGGCTCGTCTACATTAGCTGTAAAGGCTCGTCTACAATAGCTCTAAGAGTAAGGCTGTAAGGCTGTAACGTAAGCTGTCAGCGAATGAAAATATTTAGGTCATTCTACAATGAGGTTGTAGTAGTATGCAGTAGGCAAATTGACCAATCACTATCGATTGTTCTCTTTACGATCGAAGAATAATCGACTGTGATTGGTCAATTTGCCTACTGCATACTACTACAACCTCATTGTAGAATGACCTTTTCATTTCGTGTCTTGCAACCTTACAGCCTTAAGGTCATTCTACAATATGTATCGTAAGTTGTAAGCCGTAAGAATTGGCGAATCATAGTCGATTATTACAAAAATAATCGGCTATAATTGGTCAGTTCTTAGGGCTTACAACTTACGACACGTATTGTAGAATGACCTTAACTCTTACAGCTAATGTAAACGGCCTTTATTCTAGGGTCTCTAGGCTCAGCTAAAGCGGCCTATGACCCTCTCTCCTTCTTCTCTCTGGTAATAGGAAACAAATATTTTGCAAAGGACGTGCTATACTTTTTCTGACAATGTGTTAACAGCAAGATTATTTTTTTCAAAAATGACATTGATAAAGCATTTTATATTAATTCAATTAATACGAAGAAGCGGTTTGTTACCTGCGACGTTTGCACGCAGGTAAATTATTTACTTTTCATTATTAATCTTTAGTCATGATTTCTTTCTATAACATATACACAGTACACACTATCTAATAATAACAATAATAATAATTAATAATTTAATAATTATGTAATTTTGTTGTATTAACTATGTTTGATTTTTTATTATTACATCAGATCTATAATTCCTGGCACAAGTTGTATTCAATCGTTTAGGGGTAAGAAAGATGATAGTAATTCAAATTCATCAGCTTCTTTATTTCATCCTGTGCCTGTCAAGCCAAATCCAGATGACATAAACATAGGCGTTGAATTGACTGGAGCTCTAAAGAAAACAGATCTTTTGAAAATATTAAATTCGTTCGCACAGAAGGCAGAGATCAAGGAGCTAGCTCAGCAATATGGATTAGATAGTATGTTTAGAATTATTATAAATATTGATCAATATTCTGACTGGTATCAATTTTAGGTTACCTTCAGGGACAGGCTTTCACAAATTTTAGGCAATATTGTTTAGAAACAGAGACATTGCCTGTAGATCTCCATATAGTATTAAGTGATATTCTTCAAGATGCTGGCAATGTTACAGATATTTTTCCCTATTTTTTACGCCATGTTAAACAGATGTTTCCACATATTGATTGTTTGGATGATCTTAAAAAGATTAGTGATTTACGGAGTCCAGCTAATTGGTAAAGTATTATACTATATATTATACAAAATACTAGATACTATATATTTATATAATACTATTTTTTTCTGAAAGTTATTAATGATTTAATATATGCAATTATTATTTTAATATACATGAAAGTTTCTGCCAAATTTCATTTTATTAATTTCTTCAGGTATCCTCTTGCAAGAGCAAAAAATAGAAAAATAATCTTTCATGCTGGACCAACAAACAGTGGAAAGACTTATCATGCCCTAGAAAGGTTTATCAATGCAAAAAGTGGAGTATATTGTGGACCATTAAAGTTATTAGTTGGGGAAGTATTTCAGAAATGTAATCAGAATGTTGGTATTGATTCTATCATATTATTTAATTATATTTGTCATATATAATATTATATTGTGTTATAATAAACATATTTTATTTTACTCAGGGAACACCATGTGATTTATTAACTGGAGAAGAACGGACATATGCCAAGGGACTTGATAATCCATCAAACCATTTATCATGTTCTGTAGAGATGGTGAATTTACAAAGCAACTGTAGATATAAATTTGTTATACTTTATGATTTACAACATTTATATATGAAACATACCGATATAAATTATGATTTATCGTAGACGAAGTAGCTGTAATTGACGAAATTCAATTAATGCGCGATCTTAACAGAGGCTGGGCATGGACGAGAGCTCTCTTAGGAATTCCTGCAGATGAAATACATTTATGTGGTGAAGCTGCTGCTATAGATTTGGTATATTTTTACCCATGTTTTATATATATATATATATTGCATATAATTATTAGCTTTTGTAATTACAAATTTATACAATAACCAATATCTAATGATAAAAAGAATTACACATATATAGGTAAAAGCTATATGCCTCTCAACGGGCGAAGATGTGGAAATTCGCAGATATAAACGATTAACACAGCTGGAAATAGAGAATCAGGCACTTGGTTCTCTAAATAATGTTCAACCAGGAGATTGTATTGTCTGTTTTAACAAGAACGATATATTTACTGTTTCTCGTTCTCTTGAAAGCAGGGGAATAGAGGTGGCGGTAATATATGGCAGCTTACCACCTGGTACAAAACTGGCACAAGCTGCAAAATTTAATGATCCTAAGAATTCCTGCAAAGTTTTGGTAGCAACCAATGCGATCGGAATGGGTTTGAACTTGTAAATTTCCTCAGATATTTCAATTTGTCATATATGTGTTACTTTAAATTTAGCTTTGCACATATCCCATATTTTAAACTTTTAAAAGATTGCAAATATACATGACTATATTAGAAACTTGCTTAAAAATATGTTTTATAGACACATTCGAAGAATTATATTTTACTCATTGATTCAACCATCAATCAATGAAAAAGGTGAAAAGGAAATGGATGTATTATCTGTGTCTGCTACTTTACAAATAGCAGGTCGCGCTGGACGTTATGGCACAGCATGGACTACGGTAATTATTTTCTCAACTTTTTCTATCACTTTAATATTATTTACAATTAACGTAGTAAAATGATATAAAAAGAAATATTGATTTTGAATATGTGAAAATACATTTTTTACATCACAGGGATATGTAACGACATTCAAACAAGAAGATTTGCGTACTTTAAAAGATTTATTAGATCAAACGCCAGAAATAATAACGCAAGCAGGTCTTCATCCAACGGCAGATCAAATTGAACTGTATGCTTATCATTTACCAAACTCACCACTGTCCAATCTCATGGTGGGTTTTAAAAGATTTCCAAAAATTTATAAATAATGTGCCGTATGTAACATTTCGTACATTTTAGGATATCTTCGTGTCATTGAGTACAGTCGACAATTCTCTTTATTTCATGTGTAATTTGGATGATTTTAAATTCTTAGCTGATATGATACAGCATGTTCCTCTGCCTCTCCGAGCGAGATATGTGTTCTGTTGTGCGCCGATTAACAAAAAATCACCATATGTATGTGCTATGTTTCTAAAGGTATGGTATAATTTTAGCTTTATACAAATATTTAAAATATACAGGGTAGCCTACATAACTCTTTACAACTTTATACATAACTCTTCATATCTCGAAAAATATCTGGGTATCTTTTTTTTATGTTTTTTTTATGCAAAAATGAATTATATCTACTGCAGTTTATTTGAAGTTTTAAAATTTTTTTACTTTTAAACTTTTTACTTTTAAAAGGGAATAAATGAAAGTGATCTTAATACAGATTGAAAGATTTCTAAGATGTTTACAAAATTTGAAGACTATTAAAATGATTATGTAGTTTTCGGAATATTAAGCTGTTAAACCTTATGTTATCTGCTCTGTATGTTACAAAATCATCGTTTTATTAATATATAATATTAGTAAATAGTATATGATATAGTATATATTATTAATAAATAATATGTAATACCTAATTTATATTTCTAGTTTGCACGTCAGTATAGCAAAAATGATGCAATAACATTCAGTTGGTTATGTCAACACATAGGATGGCCGTTTGCAATACCAAAAACTATTCTCGATCTTGTTCATCTAGAAGGTGTGTTTGACGTACTGGATCTTTACTTATGGCTAAGGTATAATAAAATATAATTATATTTTTTACACACGCAACACGCGCGCACACACACACACACACACACACATACGCATTTATGTATTATAGTCATATTCTTTTGGCATTTTCTGATTTGGCTTTGTATAATATTGTAGTTATCGTTTCATGGATTTATTTCCGGATGCTAAAATAGTCCGTGATGTACAAAAAGAACTCGATGCGCTGATTGAAGCAGGCATAGTTAAATTAACAGTATTGCTGACAAATTCCGGTGCAAGTAAGTGATTTTTAATTGTACTTATTAATTTATCACACAATTTATACAATTTATCTCACACGAAATTCTGGCAATTTATATTGCCATCAGGATTTGAGATACAAATAAATGATGTGGAGCCAAATTAAATGATGCTAGATGTTTTAACTTCATGTGTTACTATGTTTTAACTTCATGTGTTACTATTACACATTTTTATATGTGTGGATGTAACTATTAAATGGTGTAACATAATTTTAATGGTTTCTCATTTTTTTCTTAAGTATTGTTTGAAACAATTTTTTCTTAAAATATTTGAAGGAAACAATTATTAATTAGAAAAATATCTTAACTTGAAGTTAGTACAAAATATAATTAAGGTGTTTCTGCATCTTCATTTGTCTTGTTTGTAATACTTATGTGAACAGTGTTTGAATGTTCTACTATTACATTCCAAATATTTTCTCATTTTTGTTTACTAACATAAAGATAAAATATATATATTATATAGTAGTTGACACATGAGATATGAAGCCATAGCAAGATATTTGGTAAAGGTCAAAATAAAACAAATGAAAAATAAAGAAACAATTAGATCTCTCGATATACTAGACCCAATATTCCAGTTAACAATTATTGGAGTTAACACCTTTAAACTTTTTTTTATGAATACTTAATCTGATTCATCTGATTATTTGTCGCAAAATTTTTAATTAATAATGTCAGAAACGAGCAAATATACGCACCAAATTCCTACGAATTATGATAAAATTTAAAAAATCTTCATAAAATAATATTTGCATGTGATTGAGTAGATTTGTAAAATGTTTTGAAATATTTCCTTCTGCTCTAATATTCGTTCGATATTATTCTGCTCCACGAGTTTGAATAGTTATTTTGGCTGCTAAAAAAGAATTCCTTATCTAGGTTTGATTATCACATTAACTTTGAAGATAATAGGATAAAATGGGTCACACACCGATTAGAGTCTATTTTATGTACAAACAACGTTTTAAGCACAAATCAGTTATTTTTCGCACAATGTAATATTGAGACAGAATGAGATTATTCTTTTGGAAGAATGATATTAAAATATATACTTTGATGAAAATTTTATTTTATATTTACTTGTTATCAAATATTAATATTAATATCGGTATTTTCTTTTCCTTACAGGTAGTGATAGTTCAGAAAGTGATAGCTTTGAATTACAAACGCAGAAGCACAATTTTTATAGAGGTAATTCCTTATGTTATATACAGGGTGTTCATTTGAAAACTTTCCAGCTAATTATCTCGAAAACTATGAAAGATATTAAAAAAAGCTAAAACACGTGTTCCATAATTTCGAAGGGGAAAGAGAATGGCATTATCAATTTTTTATTTGAAGGGCATTTTAAAGGTCAGTTGAAGGTGTCGGGGAGGGAATGTAGGCGCAGTTCCCCCAACTCTCCACACTCCGGCCCGCCTGGAAGACACCCTAGTGGGGTTTTAGCCGGTACGAGTCCGGCATAACCCCCTCCCCCCCAAGGGGCGGGGGTACCCATGAGGATTTCCCCACCGTGATAAAAAAAAAGTTGAAGGTCAACTTAATTTTTTAAAATAGAAAGTCCAATATTTTATTATATCTCCTCTTTCTACCAATTAATTTTAACAACTTTTGTCTGAAACATTTTTTATTTGCCTAATATTTTTTGAAATATTTAAAGAAAACTTGGTAACTTTTTGAACATTTAACTTACGATATCTCACTAACTATTCGTCGAAAGAAAAAATAGTATTAATTTTTTTACTTTATTTACTATCAAGAATATATTACTTTAATAATTTTGAAATTTCCATAGGTCGATCAGTTAATAAAAGTTAGGGCACTATTATAGTAATATATTCTTAATAATAAATAAAGTAAAAAAGTCTAATACTATTTTCCCTTTCGATGAATAATTAGCGAGATATCGTAAGTTAAATGTTGAAAAAGTTAACAAGTTTCCTTTAAATATTTCAAAAAATATAAATAATTCAAAAAATAAGTAAATAAAAAAATGTTTCAGACAAAAGTTGTTAAAATTAATTGGTAGAAAAAGAAGATATAATAAAAGATTGGGCTTTCTATTTAAAAAAATTAAGTTAACCTTCAACTGATCTTGAAAATGCTCTCCAAATAAAAAACTGATAATGCCATTATATTTCCCCTTCGAAATCATGGAATACGTGTTTTACCTTTTTTTAATCTTTCATAGTTTTCGAGATTATTAGTTGGAAAGTTTTCAAATGAACATCCTATATACAGGGTGGAGGGTTATAAGTTTACAACCCGAAGTGTGAAGGTAGATTGGGTTAAGACAAACATAAAAGTCCCATACCATTTTGCGAGATTTGCTATAATTATTAAGTTATTAATGACAGAAATCTGAGGAATAGGAACGTGTCGACATAAATGATTTGAGAAGCATTGCAGCTGCTCAGGCCACAGCGCGGCCCACTCGACCCAGCAACTATTGGCAGCGTGCGGCGAGTAGGAACTGCGAGATAACAACGAATAACGACGCGTTGTTTTTCCCCTCGCTGCGCACCGGCAACTGAGCCGCACTGCGGCCTGAGCAGTTGCAACACTTCTCCATCTATGCCGGCGTGCTCCCATTCTTTAAATTTCTGTCATTAATAACTCGATAATTATTGCGAATCTCGCAAAACGGTATGGAATTTTTGTTTGTCTTAACCCAATCTACTTTCACACTTCGGGTTGTAAACTTGTATAACCATCCACCTTGTAGAGAATATTTGGATTTAATTGTATGAATGCCCGTGTAAAGGTAAAGTTCATTAAATTAAATAAAAAAGATCAGTGCTACTTTGCCATAATACGATAATGATTGAGATTTTTAGATGTTTCCTTGTCGCGGTAATCGTGACATCAGAAAATACACTCTAAAATTATTGCAAAATATGTTTAAATAATTAAATATGTTCACAAAATATTTGCTATTGATTGAACAAATATATAAAATAGTCCAAACATTTCCCTTGATCAACAAAGAACTGTAAAATTAACGTGACAAAATAAGGAGAAAAGATAGATTAAAAAGGTAGGTAGGTTACATATCACGTTAATTTTACCGATTATTACAGTGAAACGAAAGCGTCGAAGTATTTTACAGATTTACTTGGTTGTATCATTTCATGAATATACTTTTTCATTCTAAAACGTATTTTGCAAAATTTTTTGACGTTTTTTCTCGTTCTCGACGTCATTAATCAAATATATGATGAGGAACAAGGAACTTTAAAGGAAATTTGTAAATCCAAATTATTATTTAATATACTTTTAGGTTATCAAGCGACCGCTAAATATGGCTTGAAAAAGGGTAAATTAACAGAAAGATTATTGGCAGAAGGACTCTTAACACCCCAAATGTTACGTGAATTGCAATCTGAATGGATCAGGTCGACGCAAAAGAAAAAATAATGTAACTTTGTATAGCAAAAATATTAAAAAAAATTTACATATACAGGGTGTCCGATAATTAGCTGCCAACCCGAAGTTATTAAATTATTAATAAAAAACGTCTGGACCAATGAGTGCACGTGAAGCGGAAGGCCGGTATCCGTGGGCATGTATAAAGAAAGATGGCTTTCAATGTATAAGAAAAATGGCTTACTTATAATCTCCTAGCAACGGCGAGGATCAGCTGGCAGCTAAAGGCGAGTTTACGCCGCGAAAAGTGCGTGAGACGGCCGCGCGCCGAAAAAATATTGTCCTTGCATTTTTTCAGCACCAATAATATTTACTATATCAGGTGTGACGGTTAATAATTAATTTTTTCTTAAAAAAACGCGTTTAAATTGGGAGAAAGGTAAACAATGGTTTATTCAAAGTATGCGCTATCGCTAGTTACACATTTTTCCTATCTCTTTGGCAGTTTGTAGATGCCCTCCCAGAAAAACCGTACATCTTTTGAGATGGTCCAATCATCAAGCCATTTTTCGACATCTGTATTTGTAATTGTTGAAATGTTTCATGGAGAGTGTGTGAGACATCAATAAAAACAAGTGGTAGTCGGAAGCGGCCAAGTCTGGTGAATACGGCGGGTGGGGCAAGAGTTCCCAGCCAAGTGTAGAAATGGTGTCTTTGACCGCTTTCGCTGTGTGTGATGGGGCGTTGTCGTGCTGCAAAATTATTTTTCCGTGTCTTGTAGCCCATTCTGGTCGCTTTTCGATCAATGCATGGTTCAAATTGATCATTTGTTGACGGTAGCGAACGGTATCAACTGTTTCACCTAGTTTCAGAAGCTCATGGTACACGATACCCTTCTGATCCCACCAAATGCACAGCATTGTCTTCTTTCCAAAGCGATTCGGTCTTGCGGTCGATGTTGATGATTGTCACGGGTCAACCCATGATTTTCTGAGTTTTGGGTTCTCGAAATATATCCATTTTTCGTCTCCAGTCCGATGCAAAAAAGTCTTTCTTTTATGCCGAGAAAGCAAAACTTCGAACACCGTTTTTCGCTTTACCATGTCTGTCATTCAACTGATGTGATATCCATTTTCCTGCTTTCTGGATCTTTCCCATGGCATGCAGACGATCACAAATGGTTCGATGACTAACATTTAATATCTCTGCCATTTGTTGAGTATGCGTATCGTCTTCATCCAACAACGCTTGCAATTCGGCATCTTGAAGTTTTTTCGGTTGACCTGGGCGTTCTTTGTGTTTCAAGTCAAAATCACCACTTTTGAATCGTTTGAATCAAAGCGTCTTGCGTTAAGACATTGTCACCGTAAGTTTCCACAAGTATATACGACGGCTTTCACTCGCGTTTTTCTTTTGATTGAACAAGAAAAGTAGTACATGCCGCAAATGCTCTTTATTTGGCTTGAAACTCGACATGTTTACCACACGAAAAAAATATGACGCTAACCCGAAATCGTTTAAACATCAACGGCGTTTTGAAAGGTCATAGCAACAAAATGACATAAGAGCATAAGAGGTTTGACTGTGAACCAATCCTTGTTTCCAACGCCATCTCTTAAAAAAATTAAGAATTATTAACCGCCACATCTAGTATTGGCCATAATAACCAACTTCTATAACAAAATTATTTAAGAGTATACGCTCGAACAATGTGTATAACTAACGTGAGATATTTCCAAAACTTACCTTATTCAAAATGCAATAACATAAGCAACAATATAGGCTATATTATTTCGATATTAACTGCCAATACTAAAAATATATAGTTTGTGTCACACAAACTATAAATTTTCAACGCTGGCAGTAAATATCGAAACGCAGCCATAGATAATGTCTCATGCGACAAATAAAAAATAATTAATATACTAATAAGAAAATAATTAATTAAATTAAATAATTAATAATAAATAAATAAATAAATAAATAAATAATAAATAAATAAATAAATAATTAATAATTATTAATTAATTAATTAATTATTAATTGTTTATATGTTAAAATAATCGACTATGGTTGGTCAATTTGGTTACAACTTATGACTAATAGTTTATTGTAGAAAGCCCATTATGGGTCTTCCGAACGACATCTATTAACGTTATCTAGGGAAAGGAGAATATCGTGAGCGTGGAGCGTCAGGTAACTCAGTGGTTTAAGACCGATTATTCCAACTTCTCGGTAAGTTAATCAATAGTTAAATCATACGTTTGTCTTTGTTTTTCCTTCAACTTGGACAAAGACAGACATATGATTTAACTGTCAGTTAACTTACCAAGAAGTTGAAACAACCGGCCCTTAGAGCAGTCGCCCGGCAAACGAAAGACCCGGGTTCGATTCCCGGTCTAGCGACTGCCGCGCTCTCGATATTTTTCTCTCTTCGGAACGAAAATAAGATGCAGATCCCGAACGCACGGCGTTCCGTCGCCACTTAGTACACCCTCCTTCTTTCATGGTAGAAGGCCACTATGGGCCTTCTACAATAAGCTATTAGTCATAAGTTGTAACCAAATTGACCAACCTAGGTTAATTATTTTTGAAATAATCAATTGTGATTGGTCAATTTGCTTATAGCTTATGACTAATTGCTTATTGTAGAAGGCCCATAAAAGCGTGGTCTACAATGGCCGTAAGCAGTAAGAAGAAAGCGTGAACAGTAAGAAATGGACCAACCACAGTTGATTATTTTTGTCATAATCGACTATGATTGATTTATTTCTTACCGCTTACGCTTACTTCTTACTGCTTACTGCCATTGTAGACCACGCTAAAGGCTCGTCTACAATAGCTATAAGAATAAAGGCCTATCCAGACAAACTTGCATAAGCGCGTAACGCATATGCATAAGGAAATTGACTAATTGTATGTTTAATACAAAAAATATTTTTTTACTACACGGATCATAATTGGTCAATTTCCTTATGCATATGCGTTACGCGCTTATGCAAGTTTGTCTGGATAGGTCTTAAAGGCCAGAGCACAGACTTCTACATAACGCATAATATATAACGCATAAGAGAATCAACAAATCAGAGTTCTTCATTTCGTGTCCTGCAACCTTACAGCCTTACTCTGAAGGCTCGTCTACATTAGCTGTAAAGGCTCGTCTACAATAGCTGTAAGAGTAAGGCTGTAAGGCTGTAACGTAAGCTGTCAGCGAATGAAAATATTTCATTTCGTGTCTTGCAACCTTACAGCCTTACTCTTACAGCTAATGTAGACGAGCCTTAAGAGTAAGGCCCAGTTCCACAACTTGCTTTAAACGGAGTTTATGCCTCGTCTACAATAGAAGTCGTAGAATTGTAAGTCGTAGAAATTGACCAATCATAGTCCGGTAAGAGAAAAATAATCGACCACGATTGGTCAATTTATACGACTTACGACTCTGACTTCTATTGTAGACGAGGTATTAAAGCTAACTGATGGTTAAAAGCAATAGTATATGCGCATATACTATTGCTTTTAACCATCGGTTAGCTTTAAACTCCGACAGCTTTAAACTTACGACGTATTGTAGAATGACCTGTACTCTTACAGCTAATGTAGACAAGCCTTTGCAGCTAATGTAGACGAGCCTAAAGGTCATTCTACAATATGTGTCGTAAGTTGTAAGCCGTAAGAATTGGCGAATCACAGTCGATTATTACAAAAATAATCGGCTATAATTGGTCAGTTCTTACGGCTTACAACTTACGATACGTATTGTAGAATGACCTTTAACTCGGATACTCTCTCTCTCTCTCTCTTTCTCTTTCTTTATCTCATTTTTATGTCTCTCTCACACCAATGCAGCAGTGCACCGAGTGACGTTTCCGAACGCAGCCATTCAGCAGAGATCTTGTCACGTGATCAGTTTGCCCCTATCTTCCTATGAGGCTCTCTATCAATATCCGCCGCATCCAGCGTGCCACGTCCTGTGGTGTGATTCTGTAACTCGTTGTTGGAGTTAACGACATTTTCGTTATCGTTGCGCAGCTTTTGTATACCGTAGAAAAGCTGCGCAACAATAACGAAACTGTCGTTAACTCCAATAACGAGTTACAGAATCGCACTACTGGTTTCTTTCTGCCTATGAACCGGTTGTTCCAACTCCTTGGTAAGTTAACTGATAGTTAAATTATATCTTTATCTTTGTCTTTCTTTCAACTTAGACAAAGACAGACACATGATTTAACTAGTTAACTTACCAAGGAGTTGGAACCACCTGCCCTATAGCTATTAAAATTATATTCAGGCCGTGTTCCAAAATTCACTCCCAGAAACTGAAAATATATAGTTCGTGTTACGTAAACTATAACTTTTCCGCGCTGGCAGTGAATTTTGGAACACGGCCTTAATATGGCGGAAGGTTCAACATAACCTCGGGAATTATTCAGTTCAGTACAATAAAAAATGGCAACAGATAAGAAGCATATCCGACACTGCATTTTTTACGAATTCCAACAAGGACAAAATGCCGCAAGAGCATGTGAATCGATTTGTTCCTTTCTCGGCGAAGGTATTATATCGTATGATGAGTGTGCATTTTGGTTTAGACGGTTTGAAAGCGGCGATTTCAGCCTGAGTGACAAAGAATCTCTTGAAGGCCGTCGGAAGTGCGGCAACAATGATTTGGAGCAGCTGCTCGCTGAGGATTTACAAACACAAAAAGAACTTGCAAAGCAATTAGGAGTAACGCAACAAACTATTTCCAAATGCTTGCACCACGAGATGAGGAAGATTCAGGAAGAAAAAAAATGTGTTCCGGATAAACTCATTGAAGCCAATAAAAATCAACGGGTGACAGTATGTCTTTCTCTTCTCAATAAGCAGCGTAGAAAGTCTTTCTTATGGAAAATTGTTACGGGCGATGAGAAGTGGATATTCTATGACAATCCGAAACGTAGAAAGGTAAACTCGGATGAACTATCAACATCGGTCGCAGAGCCAAAATATTCTGGAAAGATTTTGTTCTGCATTTGGTGGGATATGAAGGGCGTGATTTATTATGAGCTATTAAAACCGAATGAACCAATTACTGCTGACTGCTACCAACACCAATTAAACCGTTTGAGTCAAGAATTAGAGCGAAAACGTCCATATAGTGGTAAAGGAGAACGTCCTGTGAAATTGTTGTATGATAAGATACACATTGCTTCTATGACAAAAGACATCATAATGAATTTTGGCTGGGACATTTTGCAACACCCGGCATATTCACCAGACATTACTCCTACCGATTACCACTTGTTCCAGTCGATGCAACCTGCCTTATCCAATACACATTTCAAATCTGTGGATGAGATCCAAACATGGCTTGATAATTTTATCATGTCCAAAGACACAACATTTTTCCGAAATGGAATCCATCAGCTGCCTGAAAGATGGCTTAAAGTCATAGAAAACAATGGTGAATACTTTGAGTGACAAATTTGCTTTATTTTCTTTTAAAATTCTTTTCAAAATCTTGAATTTAGCTGAAAAACTTGGATTATTCATTTGTATACCTAATTTGTATACTTATAGAATTTAATAAATATATTAGGTAACATATAAAATAATAGGAATGAATGATTCTATACTGTATTTTGCAAAGCAGTTTTAATTCAATTTATTGTTAATTGATCATTTACTACATGTGCCAACTGATAACATCTTATTAAATTGTCTTAGTTTTGTAGTGATATGTAAACAACAATGTATTCAATTGATATATCTTTATGCATATTATGTTAAATACATCGTTATTTATATATAAATTAACATTTAGTACATAAATTCAATAATCAATTTTATTGATGAGCTTGTGATTTTCTTAATTTAAACTATGATCAATTAATAAAGCTTTTGTAATTCTATTAAAAATATATGTATATATTATATGATCTCATAAATATATTAACAGAAATAAATAAGTTTATATGGTATTTTATGAACGATTAGCTTAGTTAAAATGATCGTTTAATATACATATTAATTAGTAACTTTTTATTAAATTACCTTAGTTTTGACAATGTATGTAAACAGTGTATTCAATTGATATAACATCCTTTTTTCATTCGTATTGTGTCCAATTAATATATCATGGTTTATATGCATCATTGATATTAATAGGAAATTGTTAGTCTGCGTATTAAATGATCGGTGGAGACTAGGTTATTCCTTATTTAAACCGTGATATAATTCTCGAGATACATTCTAGCAAGAAGATAATTCTCGGATTGTAGATAGATTAGATGTAAATTGAAAGCCGCCTCTTTTCTCAAATCCAAAAGATTGGCGTTCTGTTTAACCAAGTCGCCCGGATCCTCTTCCAGAACCAACTTGTAGAAGTGGATCGCGGTTGGTAACAGACCGATCTGATGAAAAGCCCTTGCCATGTTATAATAGCTTTCCTGTTGGCCTTCGTCGCCACGTAGTTGCATATACTTCTTGAAGAAGGCTAAAGCTGCGTACAAGTAAAACATGAGGAATAAAGCACAAATATGTAAGGAACTTTACTAGCAAAATAGAAAAGATTAATGTCAGACTATATTTAACTTAATCCATTTTTTTTACACAAAATGCATAGTCACCTTGGATCAAGAGCTGATTCTTTTTGGCCGGCACCTTCTGGCACGCCATTTGCAATTGCGTTACACCTATTAGAAGCGCCAGCAGTGCACTGGGTGCTACTTTGAACAGGGAAATATAAGCGTTCAATGCATACTTGTATGTTCCTGAAACGAGGCAATTGTTCGCATGCATGATATGTAAATACGAGAAGACAACGTCCCTGCCGAGTAGCCGCATTATGAATCTATTATGCCTCAGATCCTCCGCCTTTTGAATAATGATATTGAGTAAATTCCACGAGTTCGAACTCTGGCATTCGCGTACAAATTCTCGCACGATATTGTACCCGTAGAATGAGTCGTTGTTATGAATACATGAGATCAAGCACAAGAAGATGATGTGGGAGTTCCTCTTCTTGAATCTCTTCGATGTTAAAGCGGTGAAGCATAGCCTCTGCAGGAAGCCGTATTTCTTAAACTTGTACGCTAACTTGCACATCTGCAGAAAAAGTAGGAATTCGTCTTTCTCACTCGGCTGTCCACTGGTGCTGAACGCTGAAGAGTTGTTGTCTTCGAGGTTTCCGCCACATGATAGACGATGAAGCCGCAGATTATCCAAGCGTTGACGAACACCGGTTGGCCTCGCCAACGACGTCAGTTCCACCTTGCTTCTTATACTGACGCAGTGTCTCGACAGAAGCAACATACCTGATGAGAAGTACTCGTCGTACTTCTCAACTCTGTATAGCAGCAACGTCCTTTGATACACCGCGTTGGCGTCCAACGTTTCGCACTCGGGATCTTGGTAGAGGACTCGTATCGCTTCATTATAGAGTTCCTTCTCCATATAAAGCTTGGCTAAAGCTAGTCTCGCGCCCAAATGTTGCGGCGACAACTTCCAGACGGCTTCGTAGGACGTCACAGCTTTGTCAAAATCTTTGCAGGCAGTCCAACATTCCGCATGCCTCAGCCAGACCGCGGCCAGGCTGAACTGCTCACTCTTGACCAAGGGATCCAGCAAAAGCAACGCACGCTGAAACTCGTCCTTGCCCATCAATGCCTCCGCCACGTCTAGGAAAAGATCCCCGAACTCCTCCGGATCTGCGCGCATGTATAATTTGGGTAGATGTTCATCGGCTATCCGAATATGATTCAGTTCTATCAGAGTTATGAGAGCTTTCGCTCTCAAATCGACAGCCATGTCGTCTGGCATGTCGCACGATTCTATCTCGTCGGTATCTCGATAATCCAACTGGTGCAGAGTCTGACGGTCTTTCAAGTCATCAGATTCTTCTTCCTTTCCGAATTTTCTCACGTCGTCGTGCGCGCTCTCCGCTTCTCCTTTTGTCTTCTTGTTCTTCTTGTATTGCACTCGAATGCCCGCGTACTTGATTAATACATTTAGACATTTCTTGAACTGTTTCAACGCTATCAACGCTTCGGTCATGACATTGACTTCCCCCAATTCGACGAGATGGGGACATTTGGCAAAGAGAACCTCCATCGCTTCTAACGCATGCTCGTAGTCATTCTCTTGCATATAATCTCGGGCTAATATTTTTGCATACTTGATTATGTATTGGCCGTCCTCGGCATCCAGGTGATGAATCAGCTTTGTATATCCACGCAGGTATCCCTTTTTATCATCATTATTTAACTGGAGTTGGGCTCGCGTATCGTATAGATTGATGTTCTTGGGACTCGCTTGAATGGCTTTGGAGTAACACGCTATGGCTTGTTTTATGTCTTCATTTTCCAGCGACAAGTTAGCTAATCTTACCCACTGATCAGCGTCTCTAGGACTGAGGTATGCGGCGATTAAAGCGAACTGTAACGATTTTTTCGGCTGATCGTTCTCGTGGATCATAGCTAACAATTGGTACGGTTCTGAAGCGCTTGGTACTTGCCTGAGGAAACAATCAATGAATATTTAAATGTCTCAGGCAGAGCTTCTTCCAAACAGCAGAAACTCAAATTAGACGCACTATCGACATACATCAAGGACTTACCTAATGATCTCCAAGCATATTTGCTCCGCTATGCCAACCTCTCCTTTTGCAAATCTTACATTTGCCTCTCCCATGAGTCTTTGTAAAATTGGCGACAAAATACGTCTTTTTTTTCTTTGTCGCACCTGCTGACTATTATTAACTTTACATGCCTTTGGTTCAGCAAGCTTTTGTATAGTAACTCGGTCAATCCCAATACTTTTTCTAAAAGTAGGGAAAAACAAGTTTTGTATTATGTTAAAATATTGTCTTTCTTTCACAACAGAAAATAGTATATTACAAACATAAGACACAAGTATATTATTAGAGCCTAGAGTGATGTCACTTCTGTACACTCATTAAAGTTAAGCTACCAGGGCTTTGTAAATCATATGCCAATAATTAGTAAAAAGATAGGTCTCTGTACATGAAATAGATGTTTCATGCCAGAGTACTTAGGTGGGGAAATCATAAGCAGAAGAGTACATGATAAAATGAAAGCTTCTTAAAATTATTTAAACAAAATAACTGAATCTTTTTGATTAAATGACAAATTTCAGATAGAAAAATTATCTTCTCATTTTTTATCTTATTTTATTTTTATTTTATCAATCAGAATTGTTTGCAACGCTAAACAATTATATTTATTGAGTAAAATATATGGACTATTCTAATAAATTTCATTGAATTTAGCAACATTTATTATTAATCCAAACATCTCTGTATAATCATACCTGGGAACATCATTCTCTACCATCTCCAAATCAATATCTTGATCCATTTTTGAAGAATATTCACAAAATGTTAGCTCTCCATTCAAAAACTGTTTTGTCAAACGATCTTCTTCATCTGCAATAAGCAATATCTCTTGATCCTGATCCATATCTATTGTAACATCCTTGTTTAGATTACATGATGTTGAAAGCGTATAACTTGGGATCATTACATTTTCTACTTCTTGTATTTGTAATGCTTTGGCTTCAACAAATTCACTCATATCTATTGAGCTGATAGCATTCTCATCCAATTCTTCTATTATCACTGGTGCCACATTGCTGTTAGGGCTAATAATTAGTTGATTTTCATTTGTTAGTTGCTCAAATTTGTCATTCATCGCTGGTTTCTCAGATATATTTGCACTCATATTTTCTTTACTTGTGTCTGAATCCATGTCAGTCTCCTATGATATGTATATTTTTGTCAAACTGATATATAAACTCATTATAAATAACCAACATGCAAACTTGTTATACATAAGATACTATCATTACATCTCTATGATATAAATTAAATAAAATAAAAGAGAAGAAAGATAAAGAGAAGGTCTATGAGAAACAAGTTACAGGATCTCAGACTATTAAAATTGACTGATGGAAAAATAATGTGTTAACAATAAAATCTGTTGTGATATTCTATAAAATCACAGCAATATATGATATTCTATAAAAGTATAGCAACTAATAATTCTTAGTTTCACTGATAAAATATTATTTTCTTCATAAATTATCTGTAACATTTCCTCGCTCTAATAAAAAATATAATTTAATATCACAAGCTTGCTATAACTCCAGCCAATCATAATTTTTTTACCAAATTCTATTAAATAAATTTTATTCAGGTTATATGTGATAGATTATAAAGATTATAAGGATAAGCAGCATGAATAAGTAATAAGCAGTTAACAATAATAAATAATAATAATAATAAATGAATAATTATTTAAAGAAATTTTAATTTACTTGTACGATGATTAATGGTTGAATAATTTATAATATAAACTTAATACAATAATTTAGATTAAAAACTGCCAAAATGAAATTATTCGTCACATAAAAGTGATAATCAGCCTCTTTCTCGAGATCAATCATGTGGATAGCATGATATAAGAATACAAGAAATTATAGTAAATGTGAAGAATACAGGTCTCCTCCTCACCAATTCCGCTGAAACTTTGCACAATTGTGTATTTTGGTAAAACGCGAATTTAAGGGGAAAAAATGTCGCTCTCAAACGGATTGAAAGTTATAAAGACACATACAAGGTTAGAAAATCCGTCATGCCGGTAATGTAGAGACTGATAGTCTATTCTTCTTATGTCCGTTCCTACCAACCGTAGTTAATTTAACCGATTGGTTATTCCATCGGAATCAGGGCTGTTAAACTCCCGTGTATATTTAGCGTCGCATAACACATAATACATAACGGATAAGAGAATAAACCAATTAGTTTTCTTCATTTCCTTCCTCAGGACAGAAATGAAAGACTCTGATTGGTTGAGACTCTCTTAGGCGTTGTGTATTATGCGTTATGCAGAAGTCTGTGCTCTGGCCCTTAGACTTGATCTACAATACGTGTCGTAAGTTATAAGCCGTAAGAATTGGCGAATCACAGCCGATTATTACAAAAATAATCAGCTATAATTGGTCAGTTCTTACGGCTTACAGCTTACAACATCTATTGGGTGCATTCAGTACTACAACCGCTCACTGAGCACTAAGTGAGCTCTTGCATCTAATTGGTGTATATTTTTAAATCTAAAGGAATATACCAATCATATGTAAAAGCTCATTGAGCGCTCAGTGAGCGATTGTAGTACTGAATGCATTGTAGACCAGGCCTATGTGTTATGCAAAAGCCTGTGCTCTTGCCCTAAGGATGTGACGATGTTGCGTAAGAAGTAGCAAATTGGGGGGGGGATTATATATATATTGCAGTATATCCTAGTTCTATCACGCGGGCGAAAGGCGCGAAGGTTGCGGTGGGTCGTACGTACACTCGATGCGATACAACGCGCGTTATATATTTCAATATACTTCCTAATGCGGCGAACAAGGCCGCCTGTAGTAACGTATTTTCATTGTAATAACGTATCGCGAATTTTGGCAATGTGCCGAGCGTAAAAAAGTGCCTTTTTATCATTAAACGCTTTTTGTAGATAAAATGGTGAGTTAATCGTGTCAATCTCCGTGCCCTGCTTTTTTTTGCAATTCTAATGACTAATTGGCGAGCATATTATGCAATTCGAGCACTTAGATATCACATCGATAACGCAATCTACACCTTAGTTTCAGAGGGAAGGAATAAGATTAAGACAACATACGAAGAAAACCTTGACTGAATTACCTTACGAAAACAAAATCATTTTGAGGAAGCAAGATGTCCTGCCAAATGAAACCCAGCATCTCCTCTTTGTCCTTATGTTTTTCCTCTTTGTGTCTTTCATTATAATCGTAGTTGAGAAAAATCTGCCCGAGCCTGTGACTATCAATACCGAGGAATTACATCCAGAAAGATTTGTAGCTGAACGAGCTCGTAATCATATTATAAATCTTACATCATTTGGACCTCGTATCGCTGGCAGCTATGAAAACGAGGTGTTAGCTGTTAAATTTCTAAGAACAACGATTAATAGTCTGATTAAAGAAGCCCATGAGAATCACAAAATTCTTTTGGATGTCACAAAACATAGTGGTGCATTTTCCCTTAAATTTCTAGATGGAATGACTAATGTTTATAGAAATGTACAGAATGTTATTGTCAAGATTGGGCCCCATAGACCTACAATGCACAGTTTATTGCTTAATTGCCATTTTGATACATTTTTTGAAAGTCCAGGTAAATAAAAATTATAATGTAATATATAAAATAAAATCTCTTATATACTTTGAAATTCTTAAAAGCTTTCCAGTTTATAAATGATGAAAGAAGAAACAAGCCAATAAGAATCAATGCAAGATGTTATTTGTGAACATTTATTCAAATTTAATTAAGTCAAAAGCTGAAAGATTTTCTTTAGGAATTAACTAAGTTTTGGTCTGATCAATTTCTTAAGAAGTCTCAATGCTCAAGTTTAGTGTCTAACTTTTAATTGTACAAGTTGGTGTTTACAAATAATATTTTATATTGGATGTTATTAGCTTGTTTGTTTTTTGATTGCATCTAAGAATTTTAACAAATTTAACAAACTTTTTTATAAATTAAAATTAGGTGGTTCTGATGACAGTGCTGGTTGTGCAGTAATGTTAGAGATCTTACGAATAATTACCCAAAGCCCAAAACTATTAAAGCATAGTATTGTGTTTTTATTCAATGGAGCAGAGGAAAATATATTAGAAGTAAATTTTTGTCGTGTTAAACTTTTTTTTGTTAAATATAATATAATATGTTTCATTCATATTATTTTCAGGCAGCTCATGGCTTTATAACACAGCATCCTTGGGCAAAAGAAATAAAAACATTTATAAATTTAGAGGCATGCGGTGCAGGTGGTCGTGAGCTATTGTTTCAAGCTGGACCTCATAATCCTTGGATTCTTGAGGTATATTATTTTAATACAATTTCTTTTCTCTACTATTATTTGTTAACATTATTATCCATTAATTATGTTTTGCAGGTCTATGCTAAATCTGTGCCATATCCTTATGCATCATCATTAGCTCAAGAGATATTTGAGAGTGGTATTGTACCTGGAGACACAGATTTCCGAATATTTAGAGATTTTGGAAAAGTTTCCGGTATGTATATTATGTATCATACAGGATGTCTCATTTTAAAAAATGCACCTCGATAATTCTTCAACAAAGCATTTTCAGCAAAAATGTTTCAGAAAAAAGTTGTTTAAATTAATTGGTAGAAAAAGATGATATAATAAAAAATTAGGGTTTCCATTTAAGAAAAATAATTATCAGTGAATATCTCGAAAGTGGTGCCACTTGTAAACAAAATAGTATAGTTATTTTATGTCCCCCTTGAAATCATACAACTTCTGTCCAAAACATTTTTGCTGAAAATACTTCGTTGAAGAATTATCGAGGTGTGTTTTTTTAAATGGGACATTCTGTATATATGATATATGTATATACATAATATGTATCAATTACAACACAGCTGTGGCGTGATATTTTGCTGTTACAAAAAATATATCAATTAACATTTGTAAAATTTGTTTCAAACAGGCCTTGATTTTGCATGGTCAACAAATGGTTATGTGTACCATACCAAGTTCGATAATGTTGATCAGATTCCATTGGGTACTCTGCAGAGGACTGGTGATAATATTCTTGCTTTAACGCAAGCAATAGTGCTCGAAAATTATTTATTGGATACAAGTATCCACGGGACACTGGGAAATCTCGTATTCTTCGATTTTCTGGGTGCATTTGTTGTTCGATGGCCACAATACATTGCCAGTACAATCAATGTCGCCAGTATGATTATAGCTGGGTATTCTATCCATTTGAATATGCAGAGTGCACGTAGAAGTAAGAATATATATAATATATATATATATATATAATATATGTATATAATTAGGTATATAATATATGTATATGTATATATACATATATATATATACATATACATATATATATAAAATCATTATTTAGATCCTGCCGACAGTAGACCTCGATCGGTATTCATTTTCTTGAACAAATTCAAGTAATACAATCGAATTCTGCGTTATCGGATATAGATGTCAAGACATCGGTATACATAAAACACATAGTAATATGCGTGGGGACGATCATTATCTCGTGGATAGTATCGGCATCTTCTTGCACATTAGTGGCCCTGACACTGACAAAATTGGGAAAAGTAATGAGTTGGTACGCGAGACCAGCGTGGCTGTTCTTTTTGTACGTTTGTCCGACCACTTTTATGTCGATGATCGTATTCCTGTATGTAGGATCAAAACAGAAAAAGGTAAGTGAGGTAGAAAATGTATATTTCTCTGCTGTAACAATTTCAACTTATCTGTGAAATAATATAGTTTGTAGCTCATATATTAACAAATGCGTTTGCTTAAGAGCTTATCGTGGCGCGTGTGAATCAACATCAGATTAATATTAATTAGTGATTGTAGGAAGTTAACTCTGCATGGACTTTGTTTCAAATGTATTGTGATGCGTACGCTGTAATATGGATATGGATTCTATTCGTATGCGTTTTATTTGAGATACGATCAGGCTTTATACCGTTACATTGGGTTCTATTTCCGGCAGTCGGAAATATTATACGACATAATTTCTTCGGCAAATGTACAGGTAAGGATACTCGCGGCAGTTCTTGCGAGTTTTTTAAAATATTCTAACTTACTGACATTTATAACTTATAATTCTTTGAAAATACTTGGATTATTCTGATGGATTTTATAGATTGGAGATGGCTTTGTTATCATTTGGGAATACTGAGTTTGTCTTACATACAATCGTTTTACTTGGCGATTGGAGCTCTCTATCTCTTCATTCCCATAATGGGTCGAATTGGTAGTAGTATTAATTCCGAAATTGTAATGGCTATTATGTTGTCGATACTATTCTGCCTGTTACTCAGCTTTACGGTAAATCAATAATATTTTCATGTTATTTGCATGATAATTCTGTTTGCAGATGTTTGAATTGTACGAATTTCTCTTAATATCGTGCAAGAATGTTCCTATAACACTCACTTTAATATTTCCAGTTACCAATAGTGTTGCTAATAAAGGATGCGGAGCGAATTATAAGTGTAATAATTGGAATATTTTTGGTCGCTATTGCTGTGTTAATTTTAACACCACTTGGATTTCCTTACAGTGGTGATCCATTATCGCCTGCTGCACAACGTTTTATGATCGCGGTAACGTAATTGTTTTCTTTAGTTTTTACCCAAGATACTATTTTGTATATATACTATTTGTGTGTATATGCTACATATAAATTTTATTTTTTTAATTATTAACATATCTTTTTTTCTAATTATTATATATATATATATATGTAGCATTTTTCTAATTATTAATATATATATATATTAATAATTAGAAAAATAAAATTTATAGCATATATATATATATATATGTGTATATTAACATACATACGTATATAGAATGTCCCATTTTAAAGGATCCACTCAAATATCTCAGAAATACTGCGTTAAATCGAAAAATGTTTCAGACAAAAGTTGTATGGTTTCAAGGAGTACATAAAACAATTATATCCGTTTGTTTACAGATGCCGCCATTTTCGAGATATTTACTGATCATTATTTTTCTTAAATGGAGGCCCAAATTTTTTGTTATATCATCTTTTTCTACTAGTTAATTTGAACAACTTTTATCTGGAATATTTTTTTATTTGCCTAATATTTTTTTAGATATTTAAGAGTAACTTGGTAACTTTTTCAATACTTAACCTACAATATCTCGCTATTTGTCGGAAGAAAAAACAGTACTAGACTTTTTTACTATATTTGGTCTTAAAAATATATTGTTACAATAGCGCCCTGACTTGTTAATTTGATAATTTTGAAATTTCCAAAGATCGATAAGTTAATAAAAGTTAGGGCACTATTGTAACAATATATTCTTAAGACCAAATATAGTAAAAAGTCTAGTACTGTTTTTTCTTCCGACAAATAGCGAGATATTGTAGGTTAAGTATTGAAAAAGTTACCAAGTTACTCTTAAATATCTAAAAAAATATTAGGCAAATAAAAAAATATTCCAGATAAAAGTTGTTCAAATTAACTAGTAGAAAAAGATGATATAATAAAAAATTTGGGCCTCCATTTAAGAAAAATAATGATCAGTGAATATCTCGAAAATGGCGGCATCTGTAAACAAACTGATATAATTGTTTTATGTACCCCTTGAAACCATACAACTTTTGTCTGAAACATTTTTCGATTTAACGCAGTATTTCTGAGATATTTGAGTGGATCCTTTAAAATGGGACACCCTGTATATAACGTATATTAACATATACATACATACATATATATATATATATATAGAAGATGATTTATTTTAAATGCTAAAATGTTTCAGAAACAATATATTAGTTGAAAAAATATTTCAAATGAAAATTATTTAATTTTATGGAACCATAATAAAACAGTGATCCGAACATTGATCTGATCTTACTCAGACTTTTGTTTGAAACATTTTTTTTTAATAATTTGTGGTCATTTAAAATCAGTCACTTTATATATGTACAGAGTATCTAATACAAAATAAGACTACGCTTGCATGAAGATAGAATATGTTAAACTGAACGAAAAGTTCGTTACTATTTTCTATATATGCAATGGATGATTTGTATAAATTAACCAAGTTAATTATTAGCGAAATTTGCAGACATGAAAAAATAGTGTATGTCGACATGTTTAATTCAAAAAAGGACATAATATAGTAGAAACAATTATTTTATACAGATGTTAAAGACATTTTAAGATCAGACCAGTTTCTTTTTTTTTTAATGGAAATTATATATTTTTTTTATTTCATAGGATGATATATTTTTTTTAAGACAAGTTCGATAGTTGATACATTTTATAAAGGCATTTAAAATCAAAGTTATAAATATATAATAAAATTTAAATGTATTTCCGTTTTTTATAATAAATATTGAAAGTTTAGATCTTAATCTCGATGGTAAATGAATCTTCTGATCAAATCTGATCAAATGATTCACTGATCTTCTTAGTACTTTCAATAGAACACATTATGTGTTTCAATAGTTCAAACAATCATAATACCAATTGTTGTGTAATTTCTTAATATACAATGTCTTCGATAAATTCCAATTATATTTATATTCACAGTTTCAATATTTTCATTTGAAACTATTATCATAATACAGTAATATTATTTAGTTAGTATCATATTTAGTATCAGTTAGTATCAGTTAATATTTACTGTTAGTATCAGATTAGTCACAGCATTGGACTTAATGACTATTTACTGATTTACAAATTACAGAGACATTTTAATTTTCGGTAAATATGAAAAAATATAGCTGAAACTGTAAGAATAACTGTAGATGAACGATATGGATCCAGATGGCCATAGACATAATATCCATTTAATATTATAGATTATGTTACGAGTAAGACAATTTGGTACACTAGAAATAAGAGGAAACTATTAACAATCCCATTACGAGAGAAAAAAGTGAAGCCAATGTAGTTATCGTTTGACTGCTTAATTTGAATCTACATATAAACATCTTCAGAATTTTGTAACAAACATAATTATTACTTTCTATAACACAGGAAATTTTGTTCTAGATATTATCACATATATCATATAACTCTTAATCAGGATCTTTACGATTTAATTAACGAAACAGATTTCCAAATTAAAATTAATTTTCATGTCTCGTCTTGCTACACGCCAGAAAACAATTTACAAACAATTTACAATTTTTCCATATTACTGATGAAATGAGTTTTAAAAGTAACAATTGTAAATCGTTATTAAGTAATGAGTGTAAATCAACAGTAATATTTATTACTAGGCAAAAGAGAATCTACTTGATGTAATTCATAATTCATGTGTTTGGAATTTAAATATTTAGTACGATGTTTTGGATGACCACATAATTCGATCTTATTTTTTTGAAGAAACCCTAAGTAGTATAATTTATTACAATTTATTTGAAAATCATTTGCCAGTATTGATAAATGTGGATTTACATACTTGAGGACAAATGTAGTCTCAATAAGACAGTTTATTCCAACACCCTGTATATATTTCATCAATACATTGTATAAGTTTGACTCCAACTTTTGCGGACATCCTATATCTATGTATATGCGTGCATGTGTGTGTAATTTTTTATATTATATATTAATATATTAGTGTGCGTGCGTACGTGATTATATGTATTATTTTTATTATTAAAATTGTCTTTGATTTACAGCATACCCAACGACAGTATTATAATGCAGATGGTAGTCTTAGATATTCCAGTACAGGATATTGGATAGTGGATTTAGATATGAACAGTCCTCACAGTGTAGAATCAATAGTACCTGAAGTGGCTGCTGCAATGCCAACAGTTAAAGATTGCGAGAAAGAATTGTATTGTGGCTTTCCATATTTGATGCCAGTCACAACTTTCTTATGGTATGTATATTTATGTATGTCGAAATAAATAGCACATATTATTTGGAAGTAAATGTATGAATTAAGAAAGTATTGTTTATTAGGAGGACGAGTTGGATACCTGGACCTGCCCCGCTAATAAGCATTCCCACAAATCTCGAGCTCATTTCGAAAACACGATACACCAATGCTATTCTAAATCAACAGCATCTCGTTAATTTTACATTTAACGTTACAGGTAAATAATTCACTGATAAATTCATATTTTAGTAATAAATGAGAGAGGGAGGGAGGGAGGGAGGGAGGGAGGGAGGGAGGAGGGAGGGAGGAGGAGGGAGGGAGGGAGAGAGAGAGAGAGAGAGAGAGAGAGAGAGAGAGAGAGAGAGAGAGAGAGAGAGAGAGAGAGAGAGAGAATATATCTACATAAATATTAATTTTTTAATTTTTAGGTCCCGATCATATAGGTATAATATTATCCCCTCACAAAGGTGTTCATCTAGAGAAATGGACCATAGCTGAAGGGAAGCCACTTCAAGGTCCAATGTGGAACGATAGAGAGACTTATTTTATCTATTATGCATGTGCCTCAGATTGTGTGCCATATACATTTTCTATCGAATTGAGTGTAAGTTCAAACAGATTTGAATATATTTCTATTTTTCCCTTTAATACGTTATAGCACATTTTTGTGAAACGTCGAGAGTTTCGTACTACCCATTGAATTACACATCCAGGTGTTCCCAGACCGCATGCAGAAAGAACCGTGCTTGTCCATCGCGTTAGCTGGACACTTTTTACACGGCGAATACCAAAGATCTCTGAGATTTAAGACCTTTTTGGCACAATTCCCTCCATGGACCGTTGTTTCCCCTTGGACAGCAACATATACATTGTGGGAATTTTAACAGCAGGATATGGTAAACATGAAGCAATATTATAACACGACGAATCGACCTGTGTTAATTAACAAAGTAGCCTAATTAAACGGTACTATGTTCGAAATGGACGACATAATTTGGCCGTTTGAATACTTAACGTTTAATGTTTCTTAGATTATCGACTGACTGGATATCGGCAAATATGTTATTAGAATGTTAAAACTGTAACAAAGAAACGTTTTCATTTTAAGTTTATACAAATTTTTATTAGTGTTAACGAAATAGTGTTAACGGAATAATGTCGAATTATCATAAGACATCAGTTTTTATTGAGGTTGTAGATGATGTAAATGAGAGCATCTTCCCGAATGCTTTCACTGGCAATAATTATCATTACTTTTTGTAACGACATACAGTAATATTGCATATCATGGAAACATCAAACAATTCTATCTATCAATAGTTAAATTATCGATCGTCTAAAATGGGCTTTAAAACATATTATCCTATGCGTTATTTTTTAATTTCTTATAAAAAGAGTAGGTTAAGTAATCTTTTATCAAAATTTAAAAATTATATATATAATATAGCAACTGTGATTGCATGATGTGCGTGCGTGCATGCATGCATGGATATGTGAAACGCTCTAGTAGCAAACACAAATTTACAGATTTATATATCAATACTAAATAATTATACTATATTATCTTTCTAAGTAACAACTAACCATTGCATGAGTAGCATATTAAGCATGAATTACACGAGAGCTATTTAAAGCAGATCGTTTTTTACCGAAATATCTTAGAGCTTGCGTAAGTTCGATAGTTCAGTATTTAATCGGCTATATTTGTTGTTTGATATAAAATGTGATTCGATGCTGTGTCGTTCATGAACAAAGTACTTCCATATAAAAAACGGTATAAATGATAGCACAAGGAATATAACATTCCCTCCTACAAAGAGAAAAATAGAGTTACAAAAAATAGTTACGAAAAAAAATCTCTGACTCTTACGCAGATAGAGCATATAAAAACGAGACATAATATTCCCTTATATAGTTTAATGACTTTTAGTATTGCAACATTTTGCGTTTAGATGTTAATTACTATTTTTTTAAGGCTCCTGAGTACTCGCCGCGGCCATATCGGATAGTGACGAGAAATGCGAAAATCATAAGCGAGAAAAGACATGTTGGAGATTCTTGCGTGCTATTTTCGAATAAAAAAATATTTTGTATAAAAGAATTTACATTTACATCGTTAGATCATACTTGTAAAGTGCTTCGAATATTATGCTTCTTTTTGTATGTTCTAGCGATCTGAAATATTCTGTTGCACAAATATCTTTTTATTTGGAAATAACATGCAAGAGTTTTCTCGTTTTTGATGTCATCAATCAAGAGTTACGCGGCGATGGACCAGGATCTTTAACTGGAAATTAGCAACGAATTTAGTTTCAAGTGCAAGTCTTATTTTTGTTCCTTTCTGCAATTTTGTACTCAATGTGACAATATCTTTTTTGCTCATGTTAGAAATGTTTTTGATAATATTTGTTGCTGCACACAAGGCATCTATTTTATAATTTTTATTTAATTATACACAATATGTTTTGTACAAATGAACTTGCCATTTTATTCTATTCAGTCACAACTTACATAATATTTAATGCGGGATATGTTAATTTCTTTAATGTGAATTTTAATGTATATGTTTTAATATTATATATTCACTTATTCTTATTATATTCTAAATTCATAATTAATATCAGCTTCTTCCATAAACATCATTTTTTAGTACGTTGCCATTATTCTTTATCAATTTTTATCAATTGTTCTAATTGATCTTTATCAACAAAATGTTGCTACTTAATAGTAAAATAATATAAAATATAAAATACATATATTTTTTATGCAATCAAATTTTGTCCATTGATATATTTACATAATTTTCTGCTTAAATGCTTATGCCTATGCCGTAAATAATTCTACTTAGTGAATTGTTCATTTTTTGATACTTCACAACACACATACACACATATATATTAAAATAATTGTTGCTGTAGAGCTTCTTTTTGATGACTAAACGATCATCTGTTAATATTATATTAATAAATAGTACAACATATTTCACACTATAAAAGAAGAGTAGTTTTATATGAAGCAGAATTATATAGTGATAGTAAAATATATGGCAGGATTCTAACAAAAATTCTAAGGAAAGTTTTTCATATAAAACATGTTAAAAACTTATATATGTAACATATTTTTATATATATATGGTTTTAGTTGTTTCTTTTGGTTTTTGTTATTATTTATGTAATGTGATTTATACTTTTGTATTATTATTGTCTATCTATCTGTTATATGTACACACACACATATACACTTTATGCAACCCTTCAACAATTTTATCGTATAGTGGTTTTGCGGTATTAATCACTTTAATTAATACAATATTTTCATTGCACAAATATGTAATCATAATTCTACTTGATTTTTCGTATGCGAAATTATAAGTAATGATTATCTGATAATTATATTCCTATAATTTCAGATAATTTGCATTTTATTTTGATGATTTAAAAATTATCCAATATTTGCTGCGATTATGATTATTTCTTTATGTGCTTTTTTATGCTATATAAAAGCATTTTATGTGTTCAGTGATAACTTGAGTCACAATAATTAGTATCAATAGCTTAGCAATAGGCAAATTATTATTGTATAGTAAACAGTTTATCATACTATTAACAGGGTTTTAATTTTACTGTTTGAGATAAAACGAAGTTAAAAAAAATTTACGAACGCACTAGTTACTGATGACTCATCGCATTCTGCATAAATTATAGATAATTGTACTTTGATATACAAAGTGCCTGATGAAAAGCTATTGTGTATGTACAGATTAGATCTAACTGAACAAAAAGTTCCTCTACCATTCTGCAGAAAACCACTATAGTAAAATTCTGAGTTATCAATTGAAGAATATTTTTTAATAAACTTGCATAATTTGTTGAGTAAGCTGCAATGGTGATGTGTCTACCATCATATTAAGTCCAATTGAAAAAGTCCTATTGTAAAAAATCACAAAATTCTGAATTATTGATTAACAAAGATTAGTACAAAATCATGCGCAATCATTCACAAATATTCTTTAAATAACAATTCAAAATTTTATGCAAATAATATTTTATAAAATTATAGAGGACTTTTTAATTTGATCTAATTTACAAACATTCGATGGTAGATATTGCTATTACAATTCATTTAACAGATCGCGCAAGTTCATTCACCAATCTTCTTTGATTGATAATTTAAAATTTTATATGATTGCAAAATGATAAAGTACACACAACTTTTTGTTCAGTTTGTCTGAATCTACACATACATAAAAACTTTATATATCGTCAGATGTAACTTCGTTTTACTCAAATATCTTAGTCAACTATAGAAAATCCATCCATTACTAACATACATATAATTGTTGATAATTAATTTCTATTGACCTATTTCATTCAAGATGATGATGCCTTTGCGATAAATTGTAATAATTGCGTGAATTACACCATTTGATTTAAGCAATTAAGATTTGATAAGCATATGTGACATATGGTAATATATGATGACATTTATTTGATTATGAATTTATACCCAACATATATATGTGTGTACATATATATATATACATATATATATATATATGTTTGTATATATACATGTTCCTGCTTGCGTTCGAATTTTGTTATTAATATATATATTGCAATATTGTTACTTGAAATTACACTTGTTGTTACATGATTAAGAGATAGTTTAAAGGAAGAAATAAAGAAATTATATCACACATAAAACCTATTTTATTACTTGGTTGCATTTTACTGTTGTCATACAATTTGTCATAACAGTGACAATTCAAATTATTAAAAAATTATATTTAAAAATAAATATATTCAGTAATAAGATATTATATCCAAAAATATTAGGTGAGTACAAAAGTTCGTGCGGAGTTTGTGAGTAAAAGTCACACAGTGATTAGGCAAACAAAAATCTTTATTCAATCAATGATATATTCTCCATCGTTTTCTATAATCTTTTCCCAACGTTCTGGCAGCATACGGATGCCTCGATCATAAAAACTGCGCGGTTTAGATTCGAAGAACGAAGAGACACCGTTTTTTAAGGCCTCCAAAGAGTCAAAGTTTTTTCCATTTAAATAATTTTGCAATGACCGGAACAAGTGATAGTCAGATGGTGCGATATCAGGAGAATACGGTGGATGCGTTAAGACATCCCATTTCAGGCTCTTCAGTTTGTGCAGCGTCTTTTTCGAAACGTGTGGTCTGGCGTTGTAGTGATGAAAGACGACTCCCTTGCGATTTGACAAAATCGGACGTTTCTCTTTTATTTCTCGATTCAGATTGGTTAATTGGCGACAGTACTTGTCCGAATCAATCGTTTCGCCAGCGGGGAGAAGCTCGAAATAAATTATGCCCTTGCAATCCCACCAAACAGAGAGCATCACCTTCATCGGGTGCAAACTGGCCTTTGGCATTGCGTCACCATGCTCACCTGATTGTTTCCATGTCCGTTTGCGCTGAACATTGTTGTAGAGGACCCATTTCTCATCGCCCGTCACTAGTCGATCCAAAAACGACTCGTTATTGAGCCGCCCGAGTAAAGAAACGGCTGCAGAAATTCGCTTGATTTTGTTCTTCTCGGTCAGCAAATGGGGCACCCATATATCGAGCTTCAAATCGAATCCCATCTTTTTTAAACGCCGAAAAGCGGTTGATCGGTCAACGTTTAGTGCTGTAGCAACTTCTTCTGTTGAAATTCGCGAATTATTGAGCACTAAAGTACGCAAAACATCGTCATCAATGTCAGAAGGTCGACCAGAGCGTGGCTCGTCTTCAAGGTTAAATTCTCCGCGCCGAAATTTAGCAAACCATTTTTCCACAGTTCGTTTAGCTAGTGCTTCATCCTGATAAACATCCTGAATGTTTTTTACGGCTGCGGCAACGTTTATTCCCTTCCGAAACTCGTAAAGCATAACATGCTGTAAATGCACCTTATCGATACTCATTTTTAAAGTGATATTTCTCGAAGCAGTTTGTATGAAAACAAATGATTTTTTTTTTAATAACAGCTGAAGACGTCACCTTTCCAACGTTATATAATATGTAGATGGAAGTATTAATGACAACACTTTACGACGCTTATAACTCCATCTATTGAAACTCCGCACGAACTTTTGCACTCACCCAATAGATCTAAGGAAGAAATATTAAAATATATTTAGACTGTATTTATCCAAAACAGAGGAAACTATTAAGAATTACTATAAGCAAATTATATTTTAATATTTCTTCAATTAAATAGTAATATGAATATTATAAAACACAGTCCGATTTAGATTTGTGAATAAAAAGCCAATTGTGAATTCGGCCAACAAAAAAAATCAGCTAAAAGTAAGAGCATATATCAATCAAATCCACAAATTTTATATCAGTTGCAAAATAGCTTTCTCTACTGAGCCATTAACTTGATATAATGGTTCAAGAAACAGTCGATAGATAGAAGCACTTCTGCTTACCAATATGTCGACTTCGCGAATGGTTTGGGTTTGACTTTGTAACTCCACTCTTCATAATATTACATTCAGGCACTCACGTCTACGGCAACGAAGATCAGCTAAAATCGGTTAATAACTTTCTCTTTTCCTTTTAAATTATATGAGGACCAAATTAGTTAGAAATTGAACGATACGCGCTCTACCGTCAAGCTCGGACAAGCTCGGACAATACAGGAGAACACAAATTGTGAGTTTCGGAATGAACATTTGACATCTAATTTCGGGTTGGTTTGGTGCGAAAAGTGCAGTGCCATGTTTTATAGCGGATATATTTATAAGAAAAGAAAGATAACTTTGTTAATCACTAATGATACATCGAACAATAAATTAATTTGCATTGGATTTTTTCAGTAATTTTACTGATGTTAATTATATCTGATTAAACGATGGATGATACACACAAACAGTCGCAGAAACTTCAATCAAACGAGGAAGTTATAGAGGAACTTACCAAAGATCTAGAAAGTTCTTGCATCAAAGAGAATAAAAATATTATTTCAGATGTAGATACAAACAGTACGAATATAAGTGGTGATTCTTGGAATATCATAAATAAGGAACACGATGAAGATAATAGCAATAATGCACAAAATATAGATTTTTCAGAGGATATAAATGAAGAACTTCTTAAGAATAGAGAATTAAGTCTTACAGAAGCTGAGAAAGAGGTATGTATTTTGAAATATTTCTGTATAATATTATTACACATATTATCATGGCTGTATTTAGCACAATGCATATATTTATCCATAGTTTATATCATATATACTACAGAGAAGTACATGGAGATAAATGCTGTAGCAAATATGTTTATGGAATTCAGTCAATGTTACATGTTCAAGTAAATTTTTTCATCTATTTTTATAGGCATTGAAAGATAAAGCAGAAGAATTAAAAAACAAAGGTAATGCTTTCTTCAAAGATGGTGAATATATACAGGCAATATCAGTATATACAGAAGGATTGCAAACTTGTCCTTTAGCGTACAATAAAGAAAGGTCTATATTATATGCCAATAGAGCAGCAGCAAAAACAAAATGTCAGGTAATTGTCGAAAGTGCATTAATTCTGAAGATTTATCATTTTTGGTCACTATTAATATTAATATTTTTTTTTAGACTGAGAAAGATTCAGCAATATCCGATTGTACAAAAGCCATTGAATTAAATTCTAGCTATATAAAAGCTTATATAAGAAGAGCGCAATTATATGAAGAGACAGATAAATTAGATGAGGCATTGGAGGATTTCAAAAAAGTATTAACCTATGATCCCAGCCACATAGAAGCTAATCATGCAGTTAGGGTAATATAAAATTACCAATTATTTAAAATAAAATAAGACCTCTAAGATATAATAGTCTGATTAATTAAATTGTTTTTTAACACATACCAAGTTTTCCAAAAGTAACAGACTCCCCTCCCCTATCTCAGAAACTATGCATTATAGGTAAAAATGATCTGAACAAAAGTTTTAGGGTTCATAAAGTTCTGTTTTTTCGTGACCTCAGATTTGATCTTGATCTCGACCTTGAAGGTCATTTGAAGGTCAACTTGTGTTTTTTAAATGGAAACCCCTATTTTTTATTACACTATTTTTTTCTACCAATTAATTTGAACAACTGTTGTCTAAAACTTTTTTATTTGCCTGATATTTTTTGAGGTATTTGAGGAAAACTTGATAACTTTTTCAATATTTAACTTACGATATCTCGCTAACTATTTGTTGGAAAAAAATGGTACTAGACTTTCTTGCTTTATTTAGTTTCAAGGATATATTGTTACTATAGCACGCTGACTTTTGTTAACTTATTGACTTTTGGAAATTTCAAAATCATGAAATTAACAAAAATCAGGGCACTATTGTAACAATATATTCTTGAGACTAAATAAAGCAAGAAAGTCTACCACTTTTTCCGACAAATAGCGAGATATCGTAAGTTAAATATTGAAGTTATCAAGTTTTCCTTAAATATCTCAAAAAATATTAGGCAAATAAAAAAATGTTTTAGACAATAGTTGTTCAAATTAATTCATAGAAAAAAAACAGTGTAATAAAAAATAGGGGTTCCCCATTTAAGAAACGCAAGTTGACTTTCAAATTATCTTCAAGGTCGAGGTTAAGGTCAAATTTGAGGTCACAAAGAAACAGAACTTTATGAACTCTAAAACTTTTGTTCAGGTCATTTTTCCCTATAATACCTAGATTCTGAAATGGAGGGGAGGGGGAGTCCGTTACTTTTGGAAAACTTGGTATATTAAATTGTTTTTTAACATGTTAAATTTTTTCAGAGGTTACCACCATTAATTAATGAAAGGAATGAAAAATTAAAAACAGAAATGTTAAGTAAACTTAAAGACTTAGGAAACTTGGTGTTGAAACCTTTTGGTCTTTCCACAAACAACTTTGAACTACAGCAGGATCCTAACAATGGCGGTTATTCTGTAAAATTCAATCAAAACCCCAGATAAATTAGTATATCTAACTAGTGTGTAGTGTCTGAATATGTATGTGTAAGCCTGTACATGTATACACATTACACATACATACACACATACATAAACATACATTAATTAAAAAATTCCGCTATAAGAATAAATATATATAAATATATGAGATCATATATAAATATATCATATATAAATATATGAGATGAATTCTATTATACAGGAATTTCATTTCTTTCTAGCTCTAATAAAATAATGAAATATCTACATAAACTAGCCAAAATTATCTAAATTATTCATAGGATAATAATACAGAATTGTGGTTTAATAATACAGGGGTATATATTGTTATTAACGATACACAAACACACACATACATACATTTAGCCACAATTTTTTATCAAAATTAAATAACTTTGTGACTTCTAAACATGACAAATGTAATGAGTGATTCGATCACAATTTATAGACCGCCGTGGATGTCACAACTAAAAATTTGTAGACAAAATTTGAAATGCATAATTAATAATATGAATTCTAAATTAATATCAGAGATAAAACGTTGATACTATACTTAATTAATAACAAAACATTAATTTCTTTTTCAGGTACACATTTTTTTTCAGGTAAAATGTAATTAAAGTGACTCGAATCTATATTTACAAACATATGATTATATATATATATTGGGTGTTTTATTCTAAGAAATATCTCTTTTAAACAATACGTTTTAAAGAAAAATGTTTCGGATAAAAGTTGGAAAGGAATTCGAAAAAGGTCAATAGATGACTTCAGATTCGGGACTTCAGAAGTCCAAGTCAAATTTTTTAGATAGAGATCCTCTCAAATTTAGATAAAAATTTATTACAGATTTAGACTTTACACTTCAAAATAAAACAGTTTTATTTCTGTTATCTGTTGTTTACTTCCTCTAAATTTAAAACGTTTAACGTTATTATTTATTACATGATAATGTTGATTTTTGGGCATAAGATCTTAAAAATAATAGGTTTTAGAAAAAAATGATGTAATTTCATGTTTGGAAATAGCAATCTAATAATTTGATTGAATTTTGGGGCTATGTTCCAGTTTAGACCCAATAAGGTCTAGGTTAATTTTTTTAAATAAAATTCACCAATTTCTCCGCTTTCTATTTATAAATTATTTTAGTTTTAACTACAATATTCAAGTACTTTTTAGGAGTTAATGTTTTATATCTTTTCATTTTTTGTCTTTAGTCATTTGTTGCTTTGTTTTTAAATTAGTTTTGATTTACGTTTGCTCGTATGTTGCAGGTTAATGAACATAAAATTCCTTCATCTAATATATGGATAGATCGGACCTGCATCGTTGCGTCCTAGATCCTTGGATTTAACAAGTCCAGCTTTTTTATAGTGCTTTCTGAAGATTACTGTATATATAGAAGTTCCAACAATAAAAGAAAATATGATGGAACACAACTATTACTTGCTGGAACATTCCAAGAAATGTTCTATCGACTGTTGAAAGCTCTAAACTTCGAATCTATGTATCGACAACAATGAACGCGTATTCGAGAACTTCATTAGATGAAAGAATTTGTTATTTATGTTCATTAATCTGCAGCATAAGAACAAATGTAAATATTAATTAATTGAAAAATAAAGTAACTAAGGACAAAAAATTCACACAGACATAAAATATTGACATCTAAGAGATACTTGAATATTTCAACTTGAATATTAAAACTAAAAGAATTTATAAATAGAGAGAGGAAAAATTAGTGGGTTTTATTTAAAAATTTGACCTATTGACTTTATTGGATCTAAGCTAGGACTTGGATCTGACATTCAATTATTAGAGAGATTGCTACTTCTAAACATTAAAGTACATAATTTTTTCTAAAACCCACTATTTTTAAAATTTTATGCTCAAAAATTGACGTTTTGTAATAAATTATATAACAATAACTTTAAACGACGTTTTGGACTTGGTGCAAGAGCTAATTTTGTTCAAAGATTTGAAGGTCAAGATAATTTTTTTAAATAAAATTATGTTCTTGTTTGCGCGTTCTTATAACTTATCGAGTGGAGCTCAGCAACCTATAACAAAATGACCCTTAAATTATTTTGAACATGGAAAATTACATAAGATTGAAAAAAAGAAAAGTCAAAAATTTATACTCTTCGGCACAAAAACTTATTTAAGAAGATGTTTATAATAAATAACAATTGTCCGTGTCATTGTTCCGCCTTTAATTACTAGCCAATAGTTACTATTACAGTAAGCGTAGCAGTAGCGTTTCAACAATTTTCAGTAAATTCGCATCTATAGAGCATCTTTCACAGCATCGTGCGCGCTAATTAATTAATCTTCTTTTATGAACTCAAAATTTCAAGTGGTTGTTTATAAAATGACGGATCCTCATACTCAACCTTCACGCACGGGTTGAGAGATCTCGCGTCAGACCCTGTATATGTGTATGTATTTTAATCGAGAAATTGGATAAATATCCATGTAACAGTTTCAATCGAGATATTTGTGTCAAAATTGTTCCAAGTTACAAATTTCGGACATCTCGATATTACAAGTATTGACGCCTACAGTAGGAAGAAACAGTGTGTAGAGGAACTGCTACATCTTACAGTCGCACCTCCGTGGGGTGCAACGAACGATCACAAGCGCAATGTGTGGAGACATGGGCTGATGACGTTATTCTCTGCTGGAATATGCGTATTGCACGCGCAAGCATTTCGACGTCGACGTCAGAAAAGTACGTACTGATTAGGGTTGTCAGGACAAGGGGAAGGGAAGGACAGGGAGTCAAGAACGAATATACTTCGTACACAAAACGCGCGCAAGCGTGCTGGGGCGTTGTGGGTGCAAACCACGTGAGCTTTGGTCTCTTTTTATCAATATATACCTTGCAAATATTTATTGTGCTTATTATTACGTACAATAATATTACGTATATAATAACTGCTAAGGGTATTTATAATATTAATCAAATAAATTATTTTGTAAAAAGGCACTTTGTAATAAATTATATATGTTTATCAAGTATACGCAAGTCGATTCTACGTGTAAGCATGTGTGTAATCGACATGCCTGATTATTTCGATAAATCGACTGAACCATTAGTCATAACTGACGCTTTCCTGGCTTCTACTGGCGCCGACGTGTCGATGTGATATTGAAATTTCTATGGATGCTCAGCGTGCGAGGGCGGCATACGATGGTTACTCTGGGCGAGTGCTGTAGTGGGTGGTTGGACAAACGGGAGACGAGCGAGAGAACGCGACGTCACGACGCGTTGTGGCGGTGCGGTTGAGTAGGGCGCGGAACAGTTCGGCGCGGCAACGTCAGAGAACGTAAGACGAGAGAGATCGTATATAATACGCGTACGATGACCGACGAAGCGACGGAGCGCTGCAGCAGTGACAATGAAGGCTGACCGAGTTGCAGCCATAGGGCATAAATAGGTCGGTTGATTTAGTGACTCGGTTATTAGAAAGGGACTATAAAAAAACTGTGCGAGGGACCGACGGCCGTTACAACAACGACGACGACGGCGGAAGCGACGGCAGAGGCGGGCGACTTTTCACGCTCAAATCGATAATTCGAGCAACGTGGCGATAAGAGACTCCTCTGTGAAGAGTTTGATGTTGCTTCGCTGAACGACGGTGCGTGATAAACGTTGTACATACACACACACGCACTCTCTCTCTCTCTCTCTCTCTCTCTCTCTCTCTCTCTCTCTCTCTTTCTCTCCCTCCCTCCCTCCCTCCCTCTCTCTTCCGCTCTCGTGAAATTTACGTGTCGGGGTGATAAGGGCTCGCAGGAGCGAGCGTACCACCCTCGTTATCAGCGCCGCGCTACTTGTATCCGGCATACCGACGTACACCCTCGGTCTTTTGGCTGAAGCTTGCAACGAGCGGCCACGGTGAATCATGATGTACGGCGAGAAAGAGGTAAGCCGTCATTGAGTCAGTTTCATCCGCTGACGGAGCGAGTATCGCGCTTATGATAATGATCCTTTAACATCGTCGGATTTGATGTCACATACGTATATTCATTTACTCATACATCCATCCATTTATCTATCTACCCTCTCCACCCATCCATCCATCCATCCATCCATCCATTCATCTATCTATCCATCCATCCACCCATCCAACCATCCATCCATTATCCATCCATCCATTCATCCATCCACCATATCCATCTATCCACCCACCATATCCATCTATCCACCCACCCATTCATTCATTTGGTTTCATTCATCTGTTTCGTCCGCGACCATTGGAGTAGGAATCGCTAAAAAATGTTCGATCAATTATATATGCCATTGGTATCATCTAAAAAGAAAAAAAGGCTGTGTGAAGAAGATGCAATATTGTTATGTAATGCACAACATATAAGTAGCGCATAATGCGTGTATGTTTCCTGGTAGTGTAATTTCTCTATGTTGCCGGCATAAGAGAGACACGGAAAAATCTTCAAGTTAATATTTCCGATATTGCGTCAACCTTGTATCATCCAATGGAATAATTTACAAAGAGTGTTCCGTTTTAATCAATCCAGTCAATTTTCTCCAAAATTATTGATAATATAAAGAATGTCTCAGATGAAAGTAACGGGATGGTTTCGAAAGGAACGTATTTTAGTTATGTTGTTTTTTTATCTAAGTACAAGCGTAAAAAAAATATGAAAATCACCTCTACTTTTTAAAATAGAACTATCTATTTTGAAACGTTTACCATTGTGATCTATCTTAAGGCGATACTGTAGATTACAGACTGTATCAAGGTCGTAGATATAAAAAAGTTCAAAAATAAAAATTTATCGTATAATCGTTTATCGTTACTCGAATACACGCCCGCAAGCATTAATGCACATTCTAACTTGCTTTCTGGATGACCTTTCAACCTCTGATAAGGTATTTAGCTGAATGATACGATACGCAATTATTATTTTCATCTCGTCTGGTGTCGTAGGTTCAATTTCAGAGAACTTATTATTTTTTATGTAACATAAGGAAATATCTAACGGAGTTAGATTTGACGAGCGTGCTGGCCAACTTGCTAATCGCGTCATTCGATTTAACGTCCTAGGGATATTGGTTGTAGGCTATGACGAATACAATTTGCGTTATAATCAGGAGCACCATCGTGCTGGAACCACATACGCGCTCTAGTCACAAGACCGACATCTTCCAAAAGTGCAGAAAAAACTTCATTTTGAATAAAGTTATCGTACACGAATCTTCTTAGCGTCTCGTCATAAAAATAAGACCTAATAATATACTCGTTTACAATGCCATACCAAATATTAACACCATCTGTGCTGAAAGAGGATAACGCGATGCCAACGGGGGGGTTCTCACGAAACCTGTAATGACAACTATATTTATTAATTTCGCATCTATTATTAAAATTAATTTCATTGGAAAAGAATGTAAACGAAAAATGTGTGTCGTAATATTCAGCTAAATATTTTATCAGAGGTTAGAAGGTCACTCAGAGAGCGAATTAGAATATGTGTTAATGCCTGCGAGCATGCATTCAAATATAAGTGATAAATTTTTATTTTTCAACTTTTTTGTATCTATAATCTTGAATGTCTATGATGATTGTATTCATCTTAAGATGGACTGTTTGAAAATGTGTTCCATTCAGAAAAGGAGGTTATCTTTTTTGCATTTGCATCCAGGAAAGAAAACAACTAAAATACATCCCTTTTTCCGTTTCACCATTCCGCTTTTGACTTGAAACATTTTTTATGTCATCAATAATTTCGGAGAAAATTAACTGAATTTGTTAAAAAAAGACACCATATGCATATGTGTGTATATGTTATATAATAGCTAAGTACTATAGAATATTATATCCAATAATGAATGTACGCATATGCCTATTTACTGAGTTCTTATTAAGCTTATTTTCTACTAATAATATCAAATCGATTATTTTATACTAATCACTCCGTACGTATATATAGTATCCATTTTAAAAGCTACAAGCGAATATTTAAAAATTGAGGAAAATACGAAAAAAATGTTTTAAATCAAAGTTATAACTCAGACAGCACAAGATTTCCAATGTGTGTGTGTGTGTGTGTGTGGATGTCCTTAGGACATTTTTAGGACGTAGGATGCCCTCAACACATTCTTCGGACATTTGTACTATTTAGGGATATTTCGAGGAGGAAAGAAGATAATAATATTTATTTGATTTTAAAATAATTTTGAAAAATTCCGCCTAGATCAAATATAAAAATGTTATTAGGGGACTTTTCGTTTTTTATTGTATCTTCTTGTCGATATGTTTTCGAAACATTTGTTATAAATCTTTTTGCAGTCAGAGCTTCCTAAATTATAAGTCTTTAAAATTTATTTCCGATATTAATATTATCCAATATATGTGTGTGTGTCACACACATACACACACAAGCTATGTACAATTTGTGTTATGACTAGGAACACTATCATGCTGGAACCATATATGTGTTCTACGTAGTTACAAAATTGACATTTTTTAAAAGTGCAGGAAGTTAATTTTTGATGGAGTTATCGTACATGAGTCTTGCTAGTCTTGTCATAAAAATAATACCTATCAATGTACTCGTCCATAATATTACACCAAACTTTAATCTGTGCTGAAGTGGGATAGCGCGATGCCAACAGGGGGTTTTCGTGAAATTACTAATGACAATTATATTTATTAATTTCACACGTATCATTAAAATTACTTTCGTTGGAAAAAGAAACAGTAAGAAAAAAATGTTGCATATCGTATTCAGCGTCATTTTATATAATAATGATATTTAGGGTATCCTATAATTCGCTTCAAGGAATTCGTGGAAACAGAGCGGATTAAGGCAAGCATAAAAGTTCTTTAACGTTTTGCGATAATTATCGCAATAATTATCGAGTTATTAATTATAGAAATCCGACAAATGAGCGCGCGTCAAGATGGTATTGAAGAAACATTACAGCCGCTCGGAACATAGCGCGGCCTAGTTGATCAAGCAACTGTTGCCGGCGCGCGGTGAGACGTAGGAGCGGCGAGATAAGACACGAATAGCGGCGCGTTGTCCTTCCCCTCGCCACGTACCGACAACAGTTGCTAGATCGACTGGATCGTGCTTTTACTCGAGTGGCAAGGCTTCTCCAATCATCCATCTTGGCGCATGCTCACTCGTCAGATTTCCACAATTGATAACTCGATAATTATTGCGAATATCACAAAACGATACGTGACTTTTATGTTTCTCTTAATCCACTCTATGGCTCATATTCTGAACTCTCTTTTATCATTAAAAGTAGCTATAAAAGTGGCTTATAAGCCCCCTAATTGGCTGTAAGCCACTTTTAGATCACTTTTAATGATGAAAGAGAATTCAGAATATGAACTTACGTCTTTACGAATTCTTCGTACTATAAATTATGAGATATCTTATACATACAGAGCGGTAACTCATGTAGCCATAGTCAATGGAGCCATAGAGATGATTAAGATAAAGAAAATACTATTTTGCAAAAATTGTAAAAATATCCGAATTACGCATGAAAAAAGTCGGATGAATTAGCGTGCGCCGCGGCGATAGTGGGTGGTGTACTTGATCGCTCAAGTTTGTAGTGGCCTACTTCGTCTGGCAATAGTTGCCAGCACATGGCGAAGGCAAGAAAAGGCCGCACGCCGATAGCTATTGCTAAACGAAGAAAGCCTATAAGCTCGAGCGCGTCTATTACCGTCGCGACTCACGTTAATTCATTCAATTCTTTCCATGCGTAATTTCGTCACTTTTATGATTTCTGCAGAATGGTATTTGACTTTTTTCTTTATTGCAATCGGCTCTATATATGCTTTTATTAACTATAATATATGAGTTAACTAAAATACATGAGTTAAACATTCTATATATATTCTTTATGGTATCTCACTATACTACTGTGATCAAAAAGTATCTGAACTTTATTTTTTTAAAATCGCGGATAAACTGTAAATCAAATCCGTTTGCTTTCTTAAGTTGGTACACATGTCTTCACATTTGGTGAAAAAATCATGGCGTTCCTTCAAGCCGTTTGAAAGTGGTAGTTGTTTATGTCAATGAAAATTGTTGTGCATGGCGATTTTTACGATGTCGAGAAACACGGAGCAAAGAATTTGTTTGAAATTTTGTGTTGCGAACGAAATTTCATTCACAAACGCATTCAAAATGTTGCAAAAAGCTTATGGCGATGATTGTTTATCGAAAACAAGTATGTTTGAGTGGTTTAAGAAGTTTCAAGAAGGACGAGAATCTGTTGAAGACGGTCCCACGCTCTGGAAGACCATCAACGTCAACGGATGACGCTCACATTGAGACAGTGAAAGAATTGGTACTCCAAAATCGTCGATTGACTGTGCGAGAGATAGCAGATGAAGTTGGATCCTGCCAGCACACAATCCATAAGAGACGACCGGAATTGTGGGAAAACAATTCGTGGATTTTGCATTACGACAACGTACCATCGCATACTTCGACACTTGTGCGTGAATTTTTGACAAAAAACTCAACGAATGTCGCTCCGCAAGCACCGTATTCACCAGACATGGCCCCCTGCGACTTTTTCCTGTTCTCCCTATTGAAAAAATCACTTCGCGGACAGCGTTTCGAATCGATTGAGGACATCAAAGAAAAATCGCTGCGTGAATTGAAAGCCATACCGTTTGCCGCATATGAGCGATGTTTCCAGAACTGGATCAAACGCTGGCATATGTGCGTTGCAAGCAATGGGGACTACTTTGAAGGAGACTATAAGAATTCTGATGATTGAATTGTAATTTTGATTCTTAAAAATAAAGTTCGGATATTTTTTGATCACAATAATATAACACTCTTTATGGTATCTTATAAGTTGCTTCGAAAAATTCGTGGAGACATAGACTTTTATTAAGACAAATACAAAAGTCACATACTATTTTAC